TATTGTCTAGTCTATTCTCTAGGATATTGTCTAGTCTATTGTCTAGTCTATTGTCTAGTCTATTGTCTAGTTTATTCTCTAGGATATTGTCTAGTCTATTCTCTAGGCTATTGTCTAGTATATTGCCTAGTCTATTCTCTAGTCTATTCTCTAGTCTATTGTCTCCTCTATAGTCTTTACACTAGTCTATGGACTACTCTTTTAAGTTGTCCATGAACTAATCTATTAACTACTCTCTGCTCTAGTCTATGAACTAATCTCTTGACTAGACCATGGGATTAGTTCTATTGGCTGGTTTATTGACTAATCATAAGCTTCTTCTTTCGATCATAATTTGGGTCACTTTGCTGAAATTCCAAAAGCAATTAGAACTATTTAGCAAGTTTTTAGCAAAAGGTTTATTATATTCATATATCAAATATCTAAGAGTTAGCAGTAAAACAGTAATAATACAAAAACGTTTTTATCCTTGGGATAATATTTTATTACAAAAATTTTTAGTAAGGTTAACCATACCTCACCTGTATACAAACATAATTAAAACGATTAACCCTTTAATAGGGAGATGTATATAAAAAACAATTAATTTAAATAAATTACAACTATTGCAAATCAAATTGAGCGGCGGTTAATAATTGTGAATTCAACAGAGTAGGATTTGTTTGAAATTCCATTGTAACATTAACTTCGGGGGAAATCGTAATAAGATGTTCATGAGATTCACTAGTCGTCTCAATAAAACGTCTTTTGAAGCGAATTTTATTTGCAGCTCCCGTTTTAGCCTGCTTTATTATATTAGGAGGCATGGCCTGTTGCTTATAGGCTGCATATTCAGCCTTATGTAAACGCTGACGATGTTTATACATATTGGCACTAGACGAAAAGGTCATAGGACAATTGGGACAGGTATATAAAGCTTCTCCCGTGTGCACAGAAATATGTTCCTGTGAAATAGTACAAATATAAATTGATCAGGGTGTATTTAAAAAAAAAAAAAACAGTACTTTTTCACTTACTCTTAAATCTTGACCCCTTTTAAAAGCCTTTTCGCACATATTGCACTTGAATTTCTTTTCACACTTATGATTTAAATAGATGTGACGCTTAAGGGCTCGTTGTGTAGTTGATACTTTATTACAAATATTACAACGATGTTCTTCGCCCATATTATCGTGCATATTTTTCATGTGGGTCTTTAGACCAGCCAAATTGCGATACCATGTATTACAAATGGTACATTGTTGAGGTTCAGGTTTTACCTCAGAATGTTCAGATTCTTCATGTTTTTTCATATTGTAATTATTCTTAAAAGTTTTACCACATTTATCGCATATTTGTCGTTTTGTTGGATCATGACTATGCATGTGTTCACGTAATTTACTTTCAGAAGGTAATCTGAAAATGAAATGATAGTGATTTTGTATAGTATTATTTTTTGCAACATTAACAGAGAATAATGAAATTTCTCTTACCCTAAGTGGCTTTTACGAAGACGAGTTATTGACAGAGTTCACTGGTATACTACATACATATAAGTTTGTGTCATTAACAAAGAAATTTTGAATTTCCCATTTACTTTGCACCAACTAGTTTAAGTGAACATTTTCCGACAAATATGTTTCATTTAACCGCTAAAGAAAAACCAATGTATTGAAAATGCTTCAGATAATAGAGTGTTAATTCAAAATTCGAATGAAACTATCGAACATTTTTTATCAAAATAGCTGATATCTCGAAAACGATTTAGTCATTTAGGTTCATATTGCTAAACAAATTTTGAAAATTGTCGAAAATAATAAAATTTTATTTTAATTTTTGGACCATAAATTTCAATTTTCTAAAATTTTTAAAAAAGATATAATAACTTTGACAGTTTTAAAATTCTAACATGATTTGTAGATTATTTTATCATGTAAATTTTCGAAAATTTCAAAATGATCCTCAAACGAACAAAAATCCAGATTAGTTCAGAATTAAGTAACAGAATTTCTAAAAGGTGTCGTCGGTTGACTGTTGACATCGGTATGTTCAACTGATAGATCATATGAATAAAAAATTTTAGAATTGATCCGATCATTGATCCGCCCATACTAGAGAAAATTAAATAATTTACCTGAATATTTATAGGAAATGCCTTTGGTTAGGGTTATTTTTATACCCAAGGACGGGAAGGCAAGCCAAACGATTCTAGAACTATTAGCCCATCTTCTGATATCTTTAAAGCACGTGAGAGACTGATTATTCTAATTGATACTCACCACATTAGTGGTGTACAACATGCCTACTTTTTGGGTAAATCTGTTAAGAGTGCGCTACATAAGGTGATAAGTTGTATTGAGGACGACTTGAAAATGAAGATTACCGGGGATGTTTTATCTCCCCTATTGTGGCTACTACTGGTTAACGGTATTCTAAAGCTATTTGATTCAAAAGGCAAGAAAATTGTGGACTATGCAGATGACATTGTGTTACTAGCCAAAGGAAAATTTCTATCCACGATCAGTTACATCATTATTATTAGATAAGCTCTTGATATGAGCGAAAGCAAAAGGACTGGGCGTTAATTCTGTGAAACTTGAACTAGCATTAGGCTGCCAATGTAAGATAACGTCGAAATAATCTTTCATAGAAAGAAAATACGCAAGAAAGGACGAGAAAGGCATTCAATGCATAATACCCATGCAAGAATTCTATAGAGAAGAATTGGAGTCCGCAACCGGATATGTTAAATTGGATTTACACATTCTTATGGTTGTATAGTTTGGTGAGAGGTCTTGAGAAATGACAAAGACCTTTGAAGAGAAAAACCTCTAATGGAATTTCCAACTAGGGACGATAGGCTTTTATCTGATAGACTGTTAGATGGGTCTGCAGTTTTTACGGCGGGTCCAAGATGGATATAGGTGTGCAATTCTCTCACAACTCTTTCCTTAGTGAATCGATTCGGCCTTTATTCCACTCTAAATTTTACTTGTTAAATTGTTATTTTTAGAGTTTTGTTTCTCTATCTTTGGATTTTCACACACTACGAAGGGAATCACAATGGACCTTGTGGTCTCCGAGTGGTGTTCTCTAACCTAAAACTAGTGCCTTCCCTCTAGAGTGGTGTGTTACATCAACAAAATTAATCAACATAGTTAATCACCCTTGAATTTCGATTCTATTTCCACATTAAGTTACGCAATGATCGAAAAAAGGGTATTCCAACACAAATCAGAATCGTAAGAAGATGAAGCAATTCCATTTCGTTTCAATGCTTTACGATTGTGTGTATTATGCATTACGATCGTAGTTACGTTTTTTAAAAGTTGTTTTCTTTAGTAACGGAGTATCGATTCGAAATGCAAAATATCAAAGTTGCCAATTGGAGACATTGCAGAATAGTGATGAATTTGTTAATGACTCAATGTTCTAAAATCCCAAATTGTCGGCGTTTTTGTGATACATTGGTGCAATATAAGCTATGACCTTTTTCGATCTTTTCCTTGGCAAAAGAACTGCTTATTTTTGAGAACAAGAACGAATCAAACAAATCCCAATTTCCTGTTTAAATCATAAGCATATTCCAGTGAGAACGCTCATCATAGATCAAAAAAAGTAGTTAAAAACAAGTAAGAAAGTATAGTCGGGCGTGGCCGACCATATGATACCCTACACCAGTTATGAATATTAAATGTGATTTATTTCTCATAATAAAGCATTTATCTTCAATATTCCCTTGTTCCGATACATTTAAGCAATTTATGGATGAAAAACTAATTTTCTGAAAGAGGCTTTGTATGGGGGCTAGGGGCAAATATGGACCAAGCCCGATAACATTTTGTGAATATATTTATATTTACATAATATTTTATTTTGCTGAATTTCATCGCGATATTTGTGTTTATAAGTTAATTTAGGACATTCAAGTAATTTTCAGAAGGGGGCTTTGTATGGGAGCTAGGGTCAAATGGGGCCCGATCTTTATGAAATTTGGCAAGGTCATCAAGACTTCTATAAAACTTAGTTGTTCCGTATTTTATCGATATATCTGTATATTTAACATAATTATGAGCTCAAAAGCCCTTTTCGGGGGGGTTCTGTTCTATGGGGGCTAGGTGAAATAATGGACCGATTTTAACCATTTTCAATAGGCTTCGTCCTTGGGTCAAATAAAACGTGCGTGCCAAATTTCATCTAATTATCTTGAAAATTGCGACCTGTAGCTTTCGCACAAGGTTTACATGGACAGCCAGCCAGACGGACGGACGGACATAGCTTAATCGACTCAGAAAACGATTCTAAGCCGATTGGTATACTTTAAGGTGGGTCTAGGACGAATATTTTTGTATGTTACAAACAATATACCACACACAAATCCAATATACCCTCCCCACTAAAGTGGTGTAGGGTATAATGATAATGTCTAGGCTATAATCGGGTTGAAAATAAACTTTAGAATAATTACTTTCTAAATAACATAGGCCAACAAATTTATAACACAAAAGTATACTTTTTCTAAAGGATTAAGCAGCGCTACATCCGAATCTGGCCTCAAAATTAATTCAAAACATGAGGTTTTCCAGATATCGAACCGAACTTCACACAATAAGTAAATTTTTTTAATTTGAAAAAATATTCAAAGAATGTTTTTCTAAAGTTTAATTAAAATTCATTAATAGATACATAATAATTTCTTACCTTTTTATAGAAAAATTCCAAATATTCACAAATTTTAACTTTGTCTCTGCCGATGAATGTTTCAAACTTGGGTGATTTTAATTTAAATCCTTGTTAATTCCAAAATTAATAACCATACACCAGATAATTGAACAATCCATCCATGATTGTTTTGTATTTGACAAACTAAAACATATTTATTTCTAAAAGGAAGCATATCTTTTATAAGAACAAATAAACCTCTTAAAAACTTCTCCATTATTATAGTACTTATTTATATTCTTCTGAAAAAAAAAACATAATTTTTACACCTAATGATTTAATATTATTATTTCTTATTTCTAATCATGTAATTTAGCCAAATTTGGTGCTATAGTAGTATATTGTGATGTTATAACAAGCTGTTGATTTAACAGGGCCGAAGTGGGAGGCATAATAATTTCCGACGACTGAGGTGGATCAACAATCATACGTCTTTTAGTGCGCACTGTATTTGGCATAGATTTAGCTTGTTTTATGATATTCAAGGCCAAAGGTTGTTGCTTATGTGCCGCGTACTCGGCCTTATGCAAACGTTGACGATGTTTGTACATATTGGCACTAGAGGAAAATGTCATGGGACAATTGGGACAAGTATACAAGGCTTCACCTGTATGTACAGAAATGTGTTCCTAGAAAACAAGTTAAACATAATTATTTTACTTATTTTAGGGCATTAAAAACCAAAATACATACTCTCAAATCCTGTTCTCTTTTAAAGGCCTTCTCACACATGTGACATTTGTATTTGCGTTCACATTCATGATTCAAATAGATGTGCCTTCGTAGAGCTCGTGCATTTGACGATACTTTATTACAGATCTGACAACGATGTTCACCTCCAATATTTTCATGCATAAATTTCATGTGTGTTCTCAAGCCCGACATGTTGCGATACCAGGTATTGCATATTTTACATTGTTGAGGTTCTGGTTTAATTTCGGAATGTTCGGAATTGACATGTTTTTGCATACTGGAATTACAGGCAAATGTTTTGCCACATTGATCGCAAACTTTTTGTCTGTTCGTATCGTGGCAATACATGTGTTTACGCAGTTTAGCTTTAGATGGCCATCTAGTTGATTCGAGTTGAAAATTATTGGAAAAATGTAAAGAGACAAATTGAAAGATTATTAGAAAATAAGTGTGTAAATTGTAATAAACATTTCTCTTACCCTAAGTGGCTTTTGTTGGTTGGATGTTGGTTATAATTTTTTAAGGCAGATTTTCACTTTAAGTTATTGAAATGTTTATTTAAAATAAAATATTGACTTTATTAAAATGTTAACGCACACAAACATTTGAAAACGTAAGAAGTAAAAGAAATTTTTGAACAATTGTGAGTAACTATAACCTAGGAATTTCTTTCATTACTGTCCCATGCGAAAACTATAGTCTAGCTTATAGTCTAGTCTATAGTCTAGTATATAGTCTAGTCTATAGTCAGTATATAGTCTAGTATATAGTCTAGTCTATAGTCTAGTATAGTCTATAGTCTAGTCTAGTATATAGTCTAGTATATAGTCTAGTCTATAGTCTAGACTATAGACTAAACTAGACTATAGACCAAACTAGACTATAGACTAAACTAGACTATAGACTAAACTAGACTATAGACTAAACTAGACTATAGACTAAACTAGACTATAGACTAAACTAGACTATAGACTAGACTATAGACTAGACTATAGACTAGACTATAGACTAGACTATAGACTAGACTATAGACTAGACTATAGACTAGACTATAGACTAGACTATAGACTAGACTATAGACTAGACTATAGACTAGACTATAGACTAGACTATAGACTAGACTATAGACTAGACTATAGACCAGACTATAGACCAGACTATAGACCAGACTATAGACTAGACTATAGACTTGACTATAGACTAGACTATAGACCAGACTATAGACTAGACTATTGACTAGACTATAGACTAGACTATAGACTAGACTATAGACTAGACTATAGACTAGACTATAGACTAGACTATAGACTAGACTATAGACTAGACTATAGACTAGACTATAGACTAGACTATAGACTAGACTATAGACTAGACTATAGACTAGACTATAGACTAGACTATAGACTAGACTATAGACTAGACTATAGACTAGACTATAGACTAGACTATAGACTAGACTATAGACTAGACTATAGACTAGACTATAGACTAGACTATAGACTAGACTATAGACTAGACTATAGACTAGACTATAGACTAGACTATAGACTAGACTATAGACTAGACTATAGACTAGACTATAGACTAGACTATAGACTAGACTATAGACTAGACTATAGACTAGACTATAGACTAGACTATAGACTAGACTATAGACTAGACTATAGACTAGACTATAGACTAGACTATAGACTAGACTATAGACTAGACTATAGACTAGACTATAGACTAGACTATAGACTAGACTATAGACTAGACTATAGACTAGACTATAGACTAGACTATAGACTAGACTATAGACTAGACTATAGACTAGACTATAGACTAGACTATAGACTAGACTATAGACTAGACTATAGACTAGACTATAGACTAGACTATAGACTAGACTATAGACTAGACTATAGTCTATAGTCTAGTCTATAGTCTAGTCTATAGTCTAGTCTATAGTCTAGTCTATAGACTACACTATAGACTACACTATAGACTACACTATAGACTAGACTATAGACTAGACTATAGACTAGACTATAGACTAGACTATAGACTAGACTATAGACTAGACTATAGACTAGACTAGACTAGACTATAGACTAGACTATAGACTAGACTATAGACTAGACTATAGACTAGACTATAGACTAGACTATAGACTGTACCCCCCAAAAACTTTACGCCTCGGTGTCATTTTTGCAAAAAGTGATAATTTTCTCAGACTCACATCTTGCAAACTGTTCGGAATTTTGAGTCCTTGTCATAAGGAACAAAAATTGTAAACATGTAAAATCAAAAAAAAAATCCATCTTCAAGATCAAAATCGCAAAAGACTATAAAAAATTTGATTTTTGTTTCACTTTCAAGTGAAACGTATACTTAATATTTGTAATATCAATAAATCATTAACACGTATACGTACAGGTGTCGTGCAATTTGTATTACTTCCCAAAGACAAAAAAATAGCAGCACGTTAGTTTGTAGATCGTTTTCATTATGAATAATGAAGTATCTGTTGGTCGTTTAACTTATTTAACATGTTGGAGAAATTTTAATCCCAATTTCTTTAATATTGGTTTTAATTTGAACTTTATGAAATACACTTCATCTCGCATTAAACAAGTGTAAATCGATTCAAAACTAAAAATTCTAGAATTTGTAACATAAATATTCTGTTATTTGAATCGCATACAATTATAAAATTTTCTATTTTCTCAGTAATTATTTATACTAATTTAATTTCAACATTATTTCATTTAATATAGAGATCCCAAGTCCATTCGATCATATATAAGATTTGAACTGTATAGTCATTACTCATATCAATTCAACTATTTTCTTTTAGATACAATTATTCAGACATGTAAACGTTTAGATAATATCTTAATTCATAAATTTGTTTTACTATTATTAATGCAAAATTTGTTAAAGTTGGTTTTAATTTCACTGTTGGTATATTTAAAACTACTTCTTTTTCCACTAATTTCCTTACCCTTAAGTGACCTTAGAATGTAACAAAAAAATTTTAAATTTATATTCAGACAAGAAATTTACTGTCGGTTTTACTTAATATCAAACAAAATTTTGGTCTAGCTAATTCTTATGGTAATTAATCGAGTGTTTTACATATATTCCAAAAATGTTCTAGACCAACCTTTTGATTGAAATAAGAGAACTTTATAGAAAATCTGTAAAAAGAAATTAAATTAAATAAATGAAATAATTTATTTTATCATATGATTATGAATATTAAAAACGAAAAATTAGTATTTAAATTAAAATATTTATAAATAATAATTACATTCGTTTTAACATATGTATGTATGCAATGTGTAATGTAAAGTAAGTGTCATAGTGTGCATGTCCGGTTCAATTGTTTGTTTCTGTATAATTCTACTCAATGTAACGTCATGTTGGCATATAATATTTGAGGATTTATAACCGTTGAAGGTGGTATAATGGGTAATGGTGTTACCAAATGGGAGGGTGTAGTTTCGCCGGGTGCACGTTTTGTTTTAACAAATTTACTACCCTGTTTAGCTTGTTTCATAATATTTGGTGGTATAGGTTTACTACGATCTGCCTCCCATTCGGCCCGATGCAGACGTTGTCGATGTTTGTACATATTAGCATTCGAAAAGAAAGTCATGGGACAATTGGGGCAAGTATACAACACCTCGCCTGTATGAACAGATGTATGCTCCTGTAATGATACAAAAAAAATGCAAATAAAATAATTATAAATTCCTAAACAAATTAGTTATTTTTATTAATTACCCTTAAGTCCTGTGCCCTTTTAAATGCCTTATCACACATTGTACACTGGAATTTTCTTATACACTCATGATTATGATAAATGTGTCTTTTTAGAGCTCGTGCCGTTGAAGAGACTTTATTGCAAATATGACAACGATGTTCTGTCTGCACGCCTTCGTGTATATTTTTCATGTGTTGTTTAAGACCTGACAAGTGCCGTAGCCAAGCACCACATATTTCACATTGTTGAGGAATGGGTGCTGGTTTTGGTACATCCGAATGTTCCAGTTCGTGATGTTTTTTAAGACTGTAGGTACTTTTAAATGTTTTGCCACATTTATCACAGATCACCGTTCTCTGTGGATCGTGTACACTGCGCATGTGATCTTTGAGTTTTGTTTCAGTTGGACATCTAGAAAATTATAAAAGAAAAGGTAGAAATTTATTGAAATTTTAAAAAATATCATTATAACTTACAAAGAGAGAGGACATTGGTATTATTTTCCATAGTTTTTTTGTTTTCTTTTTTTTTTAATTAATTTTAAACAAACACTTTTTAATTGCAACTTTTGGCAATTTTTTAACTTTTTCTTTTTCTAAAAAAAATATTTTATGCGACGGTAGCACAAAAACTTAATACCTCTATAACATCAATATATAAACACCAATTGTATTATTAAATGTTATTAAAAATAGTGGCCTATGGAACTAAAACTGACAAAACATTTTTATAAAATTAAATCACTTTTTAACACAATAACAAAAATCATATTCAGATATTTTATATCTTAAGATGCTTCTATACAAATCTAAAAACTGTTCTGCCAATATCAGAATAAAAAGACTAAAACTATTGTCTAAATTTTGTTTAAATTTAGAACAAAACTAAACATATTATTTCAGAAAAATACGATAAAAAAATATTTCAATTTTAGGGGAAAATTTGTCGGACAAGGTTTCATATTTCATGAATTATTATTCATATTATGGTCCAAATAGATGCTCGTTCTCGTCAATCACTTCATCCTTTAGATAAAAAAGTGTACTCATCATCTCTGAGATTGATTGGGTAACAACCCCTTTATCATTTATTGCTGAAAATTTTAACAAATTAATTTTTACATTTCTGACCTATTAGAAACTCGTCCCCATCAACCATCTCGTCCTTCTGAGAAAAGAGAATACACGTCATGTCTGAATTTGGAGTATCCTCTCTATCATGTCTTCTTTATATTACACGGTAACTACGTTGTCTTCACCCACCTTCATTCACTGTGATAGACTTGAAGGAAGATCGTACCAGTGCCATTTTAGACCTCCCCCACTTAACTTATTAAGGACAACGAATGCATGTCTTAAAGGTGCAGCAACCTCTCTCAATCAATTTCAAATCGTGAGTTGAAAGCTGGAGATCCCCAAGATCTGAACGAAAGTGGAGGTCTCAGATGGTATTTGGGCAAATTCCTGTCGAACTCGACACGTGTAATATCAACAATTTCCTTGTGCACCAACATAATATGACCTTCCTTGCAACTATGAATACATCAATCTAGCTCTTATCAATAGAGTTAGAATTAACTTTTAACAGGTTTAAAAGCTAAGCTAAACAGTTCCTCTTGGGATGTCTTGTATATAAGAGGAGAACAAAAGTATTTAGATCAGACCTCGTCAGCTAGTTTGAGGTCAAAATAGTCAGACTAGAAATAGTGGGCGTAACTCCCACATAAAGAAAATATTAAGTTAGTATAACCGAGAAAATATAACAGATTCTTAAGACTTTGTATCAGTTTGAATATTTAAGACAAAAATGGGCGGTCTAGCAATTGGGAGAGTGGCACCTCCCATATGAATTAAATACAAAAATTCGTATATCTGAGAAACTATTAAAGGTCGAAACCTCAAATTGTGCATAAATACCTTCAAAATGCATAAAAACATTTGTGGAAAATATGGCCGCACTAGTAATAGGGGCGTGATAACATCCATATGAATTAAGTACAAAAACTCGTATATCGGGAAAACAATTAGGGGTAGAATCCTCAAATTTTGCACGAACAACTTTGAAATCCATATGAACATTTGGGGAAAATATGACCGGACTATAAATAGGGCGTGGCACCTCCCATATGAATTAAATACAAAAATTAGAGGTAGAATCCTCAAATTTTGCACGAACATCATTGAACATTTCTCTAAATATTATTTTGGAAAAAATAGAAGAACATCAACATTTTTTTGTTGTGCGGGTTATTCAATTAAATTCATTAAAATCTTCTAAAAAGGGCTTTAAAATTGTAAAGTTTTCATATGTAAATAACTTTTGAAAGAAACATCAACAGATTTCGCAACACTCATATTAAATAGTTTTAGATGTAGTTTACACGCTGCAAAATTCTAATAATAAGTATAAACAGATACAAATATTTAGGATTTTGAAAAATAACTATTAACATCCACAAAATAAACACAAAATTCGAGATATCATGAAAACTTACAACTAAATATACTTTATGTTACAAATTAAGAATTTTAAAGCACTTGTTTTAAGTTTTTGATTCATATTTTTCAAATACTACCTATACATATAGTTATTAAGAAAAATAGGCCACTTAAGGTAGGGAATTGATTATTTTCGAATAGTTTCAACGAACATGACTCTGTTCGATTGTTTTTTCTTAATGTTCGTAAATAAAATAAAATAAACTTGTACTCACTTTTTCTTGCACTCGGGACATTCAAATTTGAATTCTTCTCGTGGTACATGTTTCGCCACCATGTGATGTTCAAATGAAGCTTTAGAGGAAAATGTTTTCGAGCATTTTTCACACTGGAACGTTTTCTTGTATTTCGATGCAGGTGGATTGGGCAGGTGAGTTTGTTCGTGACTCTCCAGTTGCGTAGAATCACGACAGACTTTATCACATGTCTTGCACTTGAAATGTTCGGGATTGTAATGAACCAATATGTGTTCGGCGAGAAATTTGCGTGTGGCAAAACGACGACCACAACATTCGACAAAGCCATGATCGTCATTATGATCCAAGCGGAAATGAGCACGCATTTCTCCGAACGTATGGACCAGAAGTTCACATTTAGGACAGCGTATTTTTTCAAAGAATTTCGTTATTATGGAATCATATTCGGCCTGTTGGGCTTGACGGGCCTCAATTTCTTCTCGACTCATGCGTTTTGGTTCTACCAAAGGTTTTTCACGTTTCTTATATTTCTTGGGAACATTGCGTTCTTTTTTCATAATAACAGCAAACTTTTCCTTTTTCTTGTTTTGACTTTCGCCCCAGTCAGAGTCATTCGAAGCATCAGATTCTAGCTCTGAGTGAGAGGATTCTTCCGAGTCCTTATTGTAGTTATTATCATTATCATCATCATAATCATCTTGTGCATAGGCATCATCATCTTCGAAATTTTCAGCGGCTATGGCAAAGCTATCATAGTTTTGTTCATCTGTGGGATTTTCTGTTTTGATTTTTGGCTCTGCTGCATCAGCGTTACCCGTTTGTTGTGCTGTAGAACAGGAAGGTTGATCTTCCACATCTTGTTCGCTCTTTATAGCCGCATCTGAGGCCTGCTGTTGTTTCTTTGAGCGTTTGGTACGTGGTGTGGTAGCTTTAGCTTTTTCATTATCCGTTTTACGGGGTCTACCTCTTCTTTTATTGCTGCTTTCTTCCTTATCTGATTTATCCATTGAATTGGATAATAGAGTATAGTTTAGGTCCTCCAACGAGCTGGATTCGTTTAAACCTTCTTTATTGAGATTTTCATTTGAAGCAAAAACATCAGTGGCATCAGCTGCAGGAGATTGTTCTTTCTTAATACGTTTTGTCGAGACCTTGGGACTTTGATCCCGAGCAGAACGACCACGACGACTCGATCTGGCACTTCTCTCTGATACATTAGCAGTCTCTAATATTTCTATTTGTGGCAACAAATCCAAATCATGTACCTCAACCTTAACTTCCGGATCAAATATGGAATCACCCATGCCATTATCTTCCATAATGGGATCTTGGGCCATAGAAGGATCATCTTCGGACTTGAGCATAACATCCTGAGGTAGTGGATCGTCCAATACTATAGTCTTGACTGCTATATGTTTATGAACTTCCTCTACTCTCTGATAGAGTATATGAAAATCTCTTACCACTTCCCAACATGTCATACATATTTTTTGTACATCTTCACAGTTCCTGTTTGTCTAGATACAGAAAAAATTAAGTATTTTTATTGTCAGTACAAATCATACACATATTTCTCTACACTTACCTTCAGCCAAAAATATTTATTAATAATCGCACTTATATCTAGACGTAAACCTTCCTCTCCAAATATTTCTAAAAATTTTGGACCCGGTATCGTAGGATACTCTAAGCATAACAGGCATTTAACCACCATGTTGTTTTTTCTTCAAATGTTTGACTGACTGAGTGGCTTCGATTTTTCTTTCTTGTTTTGCGACTTTGAGTTTTTCCTTTATTTCGATTTTTATGAAGCCAATATTAAAAACGTATTAAACATTGTGTGTTGAACATTTTATTTTATATTTAAAATAACTTATCGATTATTATTTTTTATTTAAAACATAAAGATTAATTTAATGTAAAAAAACTGCACAAAAACTATTTTTTCTTCTTGACGCTACAACACAACCTAGAACTGTAAAGATAATGACTATTTGGTAACTATATAATGGTTACTTTTTACGATTATTTAATGTCAAACAAATGAAACATTTTAATACAACTGATAATTTTAACTTTTATTAAGAAAAATTCAATCAAGTTTGTTTATTAATATTATTTGTCCTTTATAATATTTTTTAATTTTTGATAAAGTATTAAAAGATTAGAATATTGAAAAAATCTATTGTTTATTGTAATGAGTAACCAAAATTGCTTGTTAGTTTTTATATCACTATCACAAGCCAAATATTTTAAATAAGAAAACAGAGACGCTTGTATATTTTAAACGGCGTCTAGATATTCACCACAAATTGGTAACTTTGAAAACTTGAAATGTAAATTAAACCCGTTAGATTTTGAAGTAAAAATTAAAAATGTTTTAATTTGAAATAATAATTATAACGTGGAGTCTTCTGAAAGATTAAAAGAATCTTTGCTATAGTTTTAAATAATACATTTGTGGAATTCAATTCAACTACAGCTTTTGCATCAACCAAAAGAGTTTTTCCCAGATGACTATAAATCTATGTACTGATATCTGTATTATTTAGTCTAAAATATTAAAATATATATGAGCCTAGATTTGTTTAATTCATGATTTGCACTCTCCTTTCCCAATCGATAGGAAAATAAATACAAATTCAAGCGATTTTTATTTCGAAACAAACTCTGTGAAACTAACGATGTGGCATCCTAATAATGGAACTATGTTGTCACAACTTGATGAATTATTTGTTTATAAGAAGAAGTGTCCATACAATGTGATTTTTGAAACCGCATTCGTTTAATTTTTATTTATTTTTAGTTTTTAATTTCTAAATAATAAATTTAATAAAAATGGTGTCAAAAAAACTGGAATATGATTCCTCTCTAGGAGGACCAGTGGTGCTAGGCACTCATATGCCCACCTATAAGTATGCGGCGTCAGCATTAAAGGAAGTAAAGGAGTTGGTCAATGCGAACAAGCAAAGCAATTCAAATAAATTAGTATTCCAGACACTACCCAAGCACATGAGGCGCAGAGCCATGTCTCATCATCCCAAAAGATTACCGCGTAAATACAGAGCAGCTCATATACATCAAATGTCCAAATCTGGCAAACCACAAGCTACCAAGAGACCATCTAGAAAACACCGAAGAAGGCCGCAAAATCTGCTTAAAGACTACTTAAGACGACAAAGAAAACACAAGTGGCTGGAAACACATATTTGGCATGCCAAAAGATTTCATATGATAGAAAAATGGGGCTATAAGCTTCCCTATGCAAGTTGTGATAAAACGTTCAGGGCCTGTTACAGAGCTACTGCTGAACACTGTCTCCTACAAGATATTTCATTCTATGCTTGTGTAGAATTAAAAGGAAGTATGGAGGAGTTGGCCCAAGGTTTCCAACGATTAACCAGCCAAGAATGTGGTTTATCGTTAACGGCAAAAACATATTTAAATGGTCGACGAGAGGGCTGTATAGATGTATTCAAAGCTGATGCATATCCTTATAGTGCTTTGGGTAAAGTCAGATTTTTGTGGCGTTTTGAGGGTGAACAATTCCAAGATGTTGACAGAAGAACCTTATGGTTGTGGCTTCATCCAGGAGCTTACAATGTTCTTTTAGAAGAAATAATTAAAGTGTTTGATTTAAAGTCCTCCAAGACGTGTAAAGTGCCTTTAGAAGTTGCAGAGGAAGTGGAGCAAATGTCAACAAAAATGCAACAGGATAAGATTGTCAACAAAGATAGAAAAGTAGCAGTAAAGATACAAAGACGTTTACAATTTATGACACGTACTACTGCCAGAGAAAATATACCACACTACAAGAATATTACAGGATCTGTGGAACTTAAGGAACTTAAAAATACTTTAAATAGATTTAGGCTTACAGGACCATTGGCACAAGCTATTTTAAATCGAGCTTTTAAAGTAAAATCTTTAAACAAAGATTTGGAGCAAAAAAAGTCTTGGGTAAATGAGGCTAACAAGTATGATAATAATCTACTTGACCATCATGAGAAACAACAACAGTTTTGGACTAAATGTCAGGATAATATTACCTCTCCATCAGAATTATTATCTAATATGGTGCTAGCACTGAATATAGAAGATCCTCGTATACATAGGCCACAAAAACGTTCAAAAGCTGTGTGTGAGCCAAAACAGCAGGCTTTTCTCGAAGCCAGCGATCTTCTATTGGATGTAAAACCTGAATTAAGTTCTTCCGCTTTGTGGTGTGATCAGTTAAGAAATCGTATCGTTTCTGAAATGTTGAGTACTCATGAATATTGTTCGCTAAGAGCTAAACATGTTATAGTACCAGGAAAATCTTGTCAATTCGAGGAAACTATGCAGCCAGTTCCCATCATACTAATACAACGACCCGGCTCGCAAAATGCCAATTACAAACGTTTAGGCTATGGATGTGGTTGGGATATCATTGCACCGGCGGGATATGGTATGTCAATATGGTTATCGTTGATTATGTGGGGAGCTAGGGCCGGCGGTTTACGAGAATTCGATTCGTTAGCTAGAGAAATGGGAACCGAGGAACATTTACCAGATACAGTGGCAGGTATGTAGTGTTACGATTCAGCTAATGATTCACCATTATTATAGCTATTGTTTTCTTTTTTACTTCATAGGTCTACATGCCTCCTCCGATCGTTATAATGAATTATTTACAAAATACTTTCGTTTGCCACCCAATAAACGCTGCAACTATCGTAAATTTGCTATTGTATCACCATTCCGTATACCTTTCCAAGAACTAGTACGTGATTGGCGTCCTCCAAATGCATGTGACAATAATAAAGTAAACAAAGAGTTTTTCGTTTTAAGAGAACGTCAAAAGCTGCAGGATTTGGCAGAATGTGTTAAAAAATGTAGTCTATTTAAATTTCCCAAAACACTGTCAACTCAATGCCTAATACAAGTCAAATTGATCATGAAGTCAAGAGGAAATCCCAAAGATTTTTCAGTTATATGTTTGCCTACGAAGAAGGATTTGAAGAGAAATCTAAAACAAATAAAATTAAACAATCGTGAACCGGTATTTGTGGAGCCTTTGCTAGCCGATCCCAACGAAAAGGAAAGACATCAATTGCGTATGCAGCATAAAAAGCTACTGAAACGTTTAAGAGCAAAGAGAGTAAGAGAGAAACGCAAAAAGCAGGTAAGTTGAAAGTTTTTTTTTTCGAATTTTAAATAAATATTTAATTTATATTTATACTTTATCTAGGAAACTAGCTCCACCAGGGTGTACATAAGAGCTGCCGGCACTTCAACCTTATGTTTAGAGCAATTTAAGAAAATGTGTCAACTATGGCTGCCACAAGATACCTCAACTTTATTTAGCGTACGCAAACAAGGTACTCGTGAATGTTTTGGTTATTGTTCCATCTCGAATTTTTGCTTAACTGAAGGTACCGTGGGCGCCACTGCTTATATTACGGTCGAAGGTTTAAAGCATTTGTTAAAATTATGCCAACAGTGTCATTTAAAACAACCGGTATGCTTAGTACGTTCTGCGAATAGTCGTAATTATCGCTTTGCCCAATTTCAAATTAATTTAGATGTTTAATTAATAATAAAAATAAAAAATGGAAAGTATTTTCTGAGTATTACATATCTATTGGCACATTAAAATCTGGAGGTTGGGTTATTGTTGGAGGTTTAAAATTAGGTGGCAAATTTCCAGAATATCTCTCTCTCGATGTTTCCTCCCATTCCTTGGGGTGTACTCTCTTACGATGATTATGCATATTGGCATTAGAATTGAAAGTTTTCGGACACCATGGGCAGGTATATAGAATCGTACCTGTATGTGAAGCCATATGTTCCTAAAAAGAGAACCATAGTAAAATTTAAAAAATGTAAAATCAACATACATATACATTTTAAAATTTATGTTTTCGAATAGAATCTCACCCTTAAAGTTTGAGCTCGTTTAAAAGCCTTTTCACATATCGTACACTTGTGATCATATCCCATGACGTGTTTGTACTGTACATGACGTTTGTGGGCCTTCAAATTTGGTGATATTTTCGAACATATTGAACAAGTATATTCCTGTTTTCCACCCACCGGATGTATCATATCTTTATGGCGTTTTAAGGCTTTATTATCAGTCAAACGTAAACCGCATACGTCACAGCTTACCGTAGGAGCACTTTTTCCTTCATGTTGCAACATATGACGTTCGAAAACATCTTTACAGCGTATAGATTTTCCGCAAATATCACATATTTTTACATATTTCTTTAGGTGAACTGAACGATAATGACTGGAAAGTAAATAATTTGTGCCGAAACTGTAAGAGAATAAATATGAAGATAAGAGATGAAACAATCTAATTTTTGATGAAAAATCACAGATTCGTACTTACTTTTTGCCACATTCGGAGCAAGGAAAACGTTTCTCTTCATCCGACAAATGTATCATTCTATGTTTTTTTAAAACACCAATTTTAGCAAAACCTTTTCCACAAATATCACAACAATGATTCTTCTCCGCATTACCTTCATGCATTTCAACATGCAACTCCAGACAACGTCTATCAGCCAAGACCTTACCGCATTGATTACACTTAAAGTAGTTGGGATCCAAATGACGATGCACATGATCGACAAGAACACTACGTCTATAGAATTTCTTATTACAACATTTGACATGACCTCGTTCATCGTGTTTTTCCTCGAAATGTTTGCACATAGCAAAGAAGGATTTCATTGGAATACTGCACAGAAAACAGGTGATTTTGAAATTTTCCTCTAGGAATTTGTCTCTTTCATTGCGTTTCGTTTTTGGTGCATCAGAATGATTAGATTTAATATCATTATGCTCTAACGATTCCCTATCGTCGCTATCGTCATTGAAACTGTTTTCGTAATCATTGTTATCAAGAGAATTATTACTTTCATCTCCTAAAGTTAGCACTTGCGATTCTTGTTTAATTTCGCAGGTGGTGAGGTTGGTATCAATTTCATTAGTTTTATTTAAGGGATCACTACCATTAGAAACCGCTTTGATATTACGTTGCTTACATTTGTTTGTTTTGGCTTTAGTTACCTTAACCCCTTTACCTTCCCCTTTACGAGGACGACCTCTTCGACGCCGTTGCAGTAAGGTCATATCATAGTTAGTTTGCTCTTGCTCTTCGTTCAATACATCTTTTAATAATGTTTTTTGTTCCTCTATTAATATGCTGCCTTCTTCTAAATGATTATCGCTCAAATTATACTCATTCAAAAAATTCTTTAATTCGTCTATAGGATTTTCTTCCAATTCGGCTGCAGTCTTCTTTAGTAGAACTTCATTTTCTTCGACATTTCTCACCAGCAAGCCAAATTCTTTGTGAGCTTCTTCTATGCGCAAATAAAATTTATGAAATTCATACAACTCTCTCCAGCAAGGGGCACATAACCAGGATTGGGTCTCCATATGGTTCTAAAAATTTTCAGGAAAATATTAAACCAGCCTTTTATTTTCCAAACACTTACCATAGTCCATAAATGTTTCTCTACGATATTTTTAATATCCAGTTCCTGTTTTCCATTTGAAATTATACTTATGCAGTCGGCAAGCTCCTTGTTTATTTCCAAACATAGTAAACAACTTTCCATAGTCAAATTGTATATATTTTATTTAAAATATCAACAAATTAATCGCCCGACTAACCCCACAGATGCAATGTAAACAAATAAAAAACAGAGTTGTAGAATTTATCAAACAAACCCCCACTGTTTGACAGCTGGACGAACAAAAACAGATGTGTTATCGGTATTTAACGGAAATAATTTTAAACAGTAGTTTTTGAAGGCGGTTTGGGACGAAATAACTCCTTAAATTCTAATCTGTTGAAGAAATCTTAATTCTTATTAAAAATTAGATAAAAGATATGTCAGTCTATGTAAAGATATATAACAGAATGATCGGTTTAATAGTTTCTCCATAAAACTAATTAATTTTTCTGGAAATTATTACGTTATTCATCTTTATTTAACTAGGCAAATAATTTCATTTGTATCTTTGTTTTTTTGGCGGTAAATTGCCAGTATACTTTTTACTTGTTGCCTCCAACCATTCTACAGGGTGCATCTTTTTACGATGACTATGCATATTAGCATTTGAATTGAATGTTTTTGGACACCAACTGCATGTATATAAAACTTTTCCTGTATGCGTAGCCATATGTTCCTAAAATTAATAACATTTCCTTAGATATTTGCTATTAGACAAAGACTAGAGTTATTAAAAAAATGTACCTTTAAAGTTCTTGCTTTTTTAAAAGCCTTTTCACATATTTTACACTTATGATCTAAACCCATTACATGTGAAAACTTGATATGTCTTTTATGGGCCATAATATTCGGTGATATCTTTGAGCAAATGGTACAAGTATATTCCTGATGTCCACCCACTGGATGTATTGTGTTTTTGTGTCGTTTCAAACCTTTCGTACTTGTTAGAATGAGTCCACATATATCACAACTATATGTGGGAGCTGGTTTACCTTCGTGCTCTAACATATGCCGCTCAAGATCATCCGTTGAACTTAAAGATTTGCCACAAATATCGCATATTTTAGCATAAACTTTCAAATGGACCGCATGTACATGATTTGATAGTAGATATTTGTTGGCAAATCTAATAAAATAAGAAAAAATAAAAATTATTAATTTATTTTTGTTAAATTTCAAGTTCATGTTACTTTTTTTTGCAATCTGTACAAGAAAATGGTTTTTCTTCTTCGGGCAAATGTGTTGTTTTGTGAATTTTCAATTTCGATTGGCACATAAAACTCTTGCCACATATATCACAGCAATGATTTTTTGCCACACTATCTTCATGCGTTTTTAAATGGGATTTCAAGCATAAGCGATCGGCTAAAACCTTATCGCATTGCGTGCACTTGAAATAGTTTGGGTTTAAATGAAAATTTATATGATCGAGTAGATAACATCGTCTAAAAATCTTTTTGTTGCAACATGTCACATAACCACGAATTTTATGTTTCACTTTGAAATGTTGACACATCTCATGGAATGTTTTCATGGCTATTTGACATAAACAGCAGTTGATATTGAAGTTTTCGGCAATGAATTTATCCTTCTCATCAATTTTGTATTCATTGAGATTTGTCGCTGTAGTGACGTCTTGATTTTGCAAAGATTCCAAATCAGAGTGTGAACTATCCATTAAATCGTTTTCCTGTTGGTTGCAAACAGTATTCAATGCAACTGTTTTAAATTCCCGTAATTCATTAAGGGGATCCTCAGATGTAATTTCTGTAGATTGGTCTTGTTTTATTTCAATTTGTTCGATTTCATCAATCTCGTATTCAATGGAGTTTTGTGCTATTTCTGGTTTAAGTCTCATATGATAGAGATTTTTTAATTCCTCCTCACAGGCTTTTCCTTTAGATTCTTGTAATTCAATTTTATTTAAAGTTTTAATAAGACCAAATTTATGGTGAGACTCTTGTATCTCCTTAAAGAACTTATGAAAGCTATAAAGTTCTTGCCAGCACTTTTGGCAAACACCTGTTGTGGGTATTAGAAATTCCTGGAATAATAAGATCAAATGTTATCACATTGGCCGAGACTAGAATAGATAATATATTACAGTTGATGCAGGTTAAGGCATGTAGTTCAGTAAAATTCAGGAAGGTAGTCTATTTTGTTCAGAAAAGACAATAATATAGACAAAATCACCCTAGGCTATAAATGAATAATACTATAATCCAAAATAAAGCCTAATCTATAGATTAGACCATGCTTTAGAATTTATGTAGGTAAGTCTATAGACTTGATTCTATTTCAGATTATTGGTTATATTCCAAACTAAAGAATAGCATGTTGTCCAGACTATGGAAGATATAATAATAGAGATTTCCCCTTCCAACGTACTGACTTAGGTTTTCAGCAATAAATAAGAAAATCTTCACTATTTGTAAACATCAAGATTACCATTAGCAAGCCGGTCCAATCGACTTGTATTACACTTGTCAGAATTCAAGGACCGGCTGCTGTCATATTATATGTAAAGCAATGCACTCACCATGGGCCACAAATGTTTAGTTATTAAAAACTTTACGTTGAATTCTTGCCATTGCAATGAATTAATTGTTATAAACAATTTATCCATAGATAAGCAAAGCAAACATTTATCCATGCTGAGGAAGTAAAGAACTTATTTTTCAGCAATTAAAATTTACTTATTTATTTATTTATTTATTTATTTATTTTATTTATCTATTTATTTAAGCATTTTTACAATTTTTTTTAGAATTTCTAAATTAGGAATAAAAAAAGTAATTGTTTACATTTTGCTAGTGATATTTATTTAGATGATGAGTATTTGGTTGTTGAGTAATCAGTGAATGTTTCCCAAATAGTTATAACTACCCAATAGGTTTCATTCATTATTCCAGAGGCCTTATGGGATTCTCTCAGCCATATTTTTAGTTCAGCTTTTGTTGCGTCGAATAGTTTCGCGTTTGTCAGGTTAACTGCCTCGAGCTCCCTACCTTTTAAAGCTATTACATTCTAAATGAAACAGTGGGTAGAACCACGAAGATCTTATGGGGTGAACCTGATGAGAGCAAGACGAAAAATCTCCTCAAAATGAGCAAGTCTGAAGTTAGTATGATGGTACGTATTCTGAGTGGACACACAGGATTACGAGCACATCTATGCAAAATTGGACGTGCGGATTCAGACGAATGTAGAGCATGTGGAGAGGACAGTGAAACTCTGGAGCACTTTCTTTGCCACTGCCAGGCATTCGTCGAAGTTAGATCTAAGTATCTTGGTAGTGATGTTATTCCGGAAATAACATTCCTGACTAACACTGATTGGAAGATTCTTAGGAATTACGTTCAGGAAAATAATTCATTCAGAGTTTTTTTCATGATAAGGAACGCACAACAGGCCCGATAGTGGCCTAGGTGTATTTCTTCGGATTTGATGTAATATACATCCTCCTATCAACCTACCTACCTACCAAATAGGTTATGTTAGTTAGTTATTTTTAGTTTGAAGGGAGAATGCAAGATTCATCAATGGAAGTTTCATTAGACCTGTTGTGGTCTCCTTTACCAGTGCTATTCGTGGGATTCGAACACAAGACATCCGATCTGACAGACATGGATACTATTAGTCATTACTTGACTACCAATACATAGATGTTAAAAGATTAGAAAACAGAGTCTGATTTAAATTTGTTCAAACAAAAACCTACTTTATACGAAAAACTAAAAATCTATTAAAGGACCTAAATAAACGTCCAATAAAAATTCATGTGCGCTGAAATTTAATACAAACACATTCGTTGTTATTATTACAATTTTTTCTTATAATTGCATATTTTTATTTTATTAGCTGTAGCAGTTTCATTACATATAAAGAGGTATTTCACATTCGTTAGTATTGTTTGAAGGTGGCGCAGGAGGTGGTGGATTATAATTAGGTGGTAAATTGCCAGAATATTTTTTACGTGTAGCCTCTTCCCACTCTTTGCGATGACTCTTTTTACGATGACTATGGAAATTGGCATTTGAATTGAAGGTTTTTGGACACCATGGACAGGTATAGAGCACTGTACCCGTATGAGAAGCCATATGTTCCTATAATTGAAAAAATCTTATTATTATAACAATAGTATATCTCCTAAACTAACCGTTAAAGTGTGTGCCGTTTTAAATGCTTTTTCGCACATTGTACATTTGTGATCGTAACCCCATTCATGATTATATTGGACATGTTTCTTGTGAGCCTTCAAATTGGGTGAGATCTTAGCACAGACAGGACAGGTGAATTCCTTTTTCCCACCCTCAGGATGTACCATAAGTTTGTGCTGCTTTAAGCTATGCTTATTGGCCAAAAGTAGGCCACAAACATCACAGCTCACTGTGGGCAATGGTTTGCCTTCATGCTGCAACATATGCCGCTCAAAGACTTCCTTACATCTTATCGATCTGCCACATATATCGCAGATATTTATATATTTCTTTAAATGTACCGAACGCACATGATTGGACAGTAGTGATTTACTGGCAAACCTTAGAAAAATACATTAAAATTAACGGAAAAAATTCATTATGTAAAGTATTTACAGTTAACATACTTCTTGCCACATTCCGTACATGGCACATGCTTTTCATCTTCCGATAAATGAGACATTTTATGAAGTTTCAATGACATATACATACTGAATTTCTTGTTGCAAATATCACAAGGATGTACCTTTTCCTTCTTATCGTTATGAGTTTTATTGTGCATATTCAAACATTTGCGATCGGCCATCACCTTATCGCAAATAGTACATTTAAAATAATTTGGATCTACATGCTGATGAACATGATCGACAAGAAGACTACGTCTGTAGAATTTCTTCTTGCAGCAGATAACAAAGCCAATTTGTTTGTGTACTGTTTTGAAGTGTTTGCAGAGGGCATGAAATGTTTCAGCTGGAGTTTGGCAAATACTGCAGGTGATTTTAAAGTTTTCCGTTAGGAATATATCATTTTCATGATTTGTGCTCTTCGAAGATTTGCATGTTGATTTCTTTTCATCGAGTTCTGTGGCATCTTTGTCGGGCTCATAATTGGAGTCAGTATCTGTGTCCAAGTTATTAGCTTCATCATCATTTGTTTCCATTACATCGGGATCATCTTTAATGGGGTTAGCTTCAGTAGTTTCAGGGCCCTTTGTTGTATTCGTTTCAGACTTTTCACTAGATTTTTTAGATTCTTTAACTTTTACTGTTCTCGGTTTTCTAGTTGTATTCTTTTTGTTTTGTGTTCTTTTACTTAAGGGATCTTCAGGAGCTATACTAGTTTCGTCTAAGACATTCCTCGCTTGACGTGCTTTTTTATTTCTGGTAAATGGAAGATTTTCCTCTTCCAAGGGCTCTTCACTCTGTTCTTCTTCTTTTATAACCATATCTTCTTCCTCAAGAAGATTTCCACTATGAAGCGATTCCTTTAACGAAATCTCTGGCTCAAAATGTGTTTCATTAAATGTTACATTTTCTATGGAAGGCTTGAAATCCTCATTTTGTGCCTCATCACTTTTAAGGCAAATCGACTCAACTTTCTTCAATGAAGTTCCCAATTCTGCATGAGCTTCCTCTACGCGTACGTAAAATTTGTGAAAATCATATAATTCTTGCCAACAACCAGTACATAGCCATGAACCGGATATTTGTATAGCTTCCTAAAATTTTTACTGCAATAATTGTTTATCCAAGACAGGTGTTAGAATATCTACTTACCATGGGCCAGAAATGTTTTTCAATTAAATTCTGCACATTTAACTCTTGCCACTTAATAGAGTCAACTTGTATACAACCAACCAAATCCTGTCTAATTTCTAGACATAACAGGCAACCTTTCATTGTTTATTATAAATATTTTTTTAATTAATATTCGTCCTGGAAATTTATCGATACCAAGGTAATAAAATACAAAAAAACCTGAAATGAAATGTCAATTATGACATTTAATCAAATGTAAACAATAACAGAAGTCGATTTGAACAAGATGATATCTGACACCATTTTGTAAATTCTATGTTTAAAGTTTGACATATAAACGTTCGATGTTTATGTATTTTTTATATGTTTAATTTGTCGTTTCACCGTTCACATTTTACAATTATTTATCTGCTTGTTAGCATCTTGTATGAATTTGGTTTGCAAAAATATTTATAAGAACAGAGTTGTTATACAACAAAAAAGTAGGGTTCTAAGTTGACTTTTTCAATATGTTGTATTATTCGATTTTTGAAAAGTCGACTGACTTTTCGACTTCTCATTTTCTTTTTCATAAAAAATTGGATTCCGACATTTTTTATTTGTTTTTTTATGAAAGTTGACTTTTTGAACTTTCTCAATATTGACTTTTAGACGTTTGGATTTTTTTTATTTGAAAAATCAAATTTAAAAAACTTTATATAAATTTAAAACAAATACTAAACATTTTCCTGGATATTAATACAATATTGGTTTCAATTTTTTTTTCTTTTTATTTCTCTACTTATAGTTTATTGATTTTCTAATGGTTTTGCAATATATTTTTCTGGTAAATTTCCGGAAAATTTTTCTCGTACCGATTCCTGCCACTCCAATGGATGAACTCTTTTTCGATGTGCATGCATCTGGCCATTCGAATAAAATGTCTTAGGGCAAAAGCCACAGGAATGTAACGGTTTACCAATATGCTTGGCCATATGATCCTAAAAATAAATCATAAATTAGTTTTTTTGCAATTTAAACAAATAAACTTCATAATATTACCTTTAATGCATCGGGTCTTTTGAAGGTTTTCTCACACAAGTTACATTTTCTTTCATAACTATTTTCGTGTACCACTTTTATATGCATCTTAACATTAGAAGGGCTAGCAAAGATTTTCATGCATATGGGACAGTTAAATTCATTCTTAACACCTTCGGGTGGATGATGAGAATTCATGTGACGCTTTAAGTATTTCATATCGGCCAGACGACGACCGCAGACTTCACATGTTACCATGGGTGGAGGTTTACCTTCATGCTCTAGCATGTGACGTTTAAATCTAGACTTTCCCGATATAGATGCACCACATAAATCACAAATTTTGTGATAACTTTTTAAATGAACAGCGCGTATGTGATTAGCCAAGGAATATTTCGAGAGGTAGCTGGAAAATTAGAATCATATCTTTTTAATTGATCATTGTAATCATTTAATAAGAAATCAAAATTGAAACTTACGACTTATCACATTGTTTGCATGGGATTTTTTCATTATTTTCAGCATCATGCATCAGTTTATGCATTTTAAGGCTTGATTCCGTTGACAGACTTTTGCCGCAGATGTCACACTCAATACCCTTGTGTTCGTGAACGTTTTTGATATGCAATTTCAGACAAACACGACTCGATAAGACCTTATTACAATATTTACACTTGAAATATTCGGGATCTTCATGCAACTTAAAATGATCCATTATCTCTGAACGATCATACAGCTTTCGATTACAGCAGATGGCATAGCCACGTTGATTATGTTCTTCTTTATAATGTTTAACGGTAATGGAAAATGTTTCCAGTGGAATTTGACAAATGGTACAAGTTATTTCCAGGTTTTCTGCTATGAATTTATCATATTCCTGACGTTGAGCATGCAATTTAAGGGATTCGACAGTATTTGTGGCTTCTTCGTCATCACTTTCAAATTGAGGAGCTTCCTGCTCATTAGAACTTTCATTGGAATTGCTTTCTTTAGTGATATTTTCCACATCCTTTAATTCGTAACTAGTTTTTTCTTGATTTGTTTCACTTTCCACTTTCTTTGTTTCAGCTTTACTTTTGGCCTTTTTAGTTCGTTTTTTGTTAACACTTTTCTCAATAGTTTGTTCATCATTATTTACTTTTTTAGAAGTACATTTACGTTTCAAACGTTTCTTGGAACAACTAAATTCTTCTACTTCCTCTTTTTCAAAGATTTCCAATGGGTTTTCCTCTTTTAATAGTAATATTTCCGGTTCTAGCTGAGTGTTATCTATTTTCTCTGCCACTTCGTCTTTCTCGCTGGAAATATCATCGGAAATTAATTCCGTTTTTATTAAAGTATTTAAATTTGTATGAGCCTTTTCTATATCTGTGTAAAAGTTATGGAAATTGAACAATTCCTGCCAACATGCTTGGCATACATGAGAGTCAGAATTTAAATTTTCCTGTTGGAAATATCATTTTATTATAAATAATGAATTGTATATTAAACGTTGTTTAAACTAAAAGCATAAAAATGGATATTAGAGGATTCTTTTTAACTCTGTAATTTGTTGGCGGTGTAGAATTACGACTTCCATATAAGAGGTTTAATTTTTTTTCAAATTGTTTAATACCAATTTGTTTATATACACAACTTACCATTTTCCAAAGGTATTTTTCAATAATATATTGTATATTTAGTTCTTGCCAAACGTTGGAATTGATTGCTATACCATTTTTAACATCTTCAATTATTTTTAAACATAATAAACAATTCATTTTTATTATTGTTTTGATCAATTATTAAATGTTTTGTATACAACAATAAAATGGAAAAATTGTTTAAGAGTTCAAAGTCGCGAAATGTATTTTTCATCCTGACGCCGTCTATCAAGCCGTTAATAATTTGATATCGTACAGTGGGCGAACTGTACGATATCGTGTTATCGATAGCGATAACACGTCAATCCTTTTAGATTTTAATTGAAAACAATAAAATAATATTATGTATATAGAAATTTCCATGGTAAAAATATGAAATTTCTATTGGATATAAAATAAAAAAATACAATCACATAATAATAATAAACTTTGACTTGTTTACCTTTACTACAATAGGATCCTTTTTATTTGGTTCGCCCTTAACGCAGGCAAATTTTCCATGTTCTGTGGTGATAAGAAAAACCGCTAATATTTAAAAATATACAATTTGACAACACTGTAATCTTCGACTGATGTAAACAAACAACGAATAAACCACAGATAACTAAACAAACATTGAAAATCATAAAATTTATTTAATTTTAGAAATAATCAAACATGGATAGTTGTTTATTATGTCTTAGAAATCCCATAGAATCCAATCAATATATTCCTGTGCAATCACCACAATGGATAGAGTGGCAAGTTCTAAACATAATTGAGAAGCATTTTTGGCCAATGGTGAGAATTCGGATAGAAATTATAAATCTCTAAACATAATTTATGTCCATGTACATTATTTTCTTTTATTTTCGAGGTCAATTTGGAATCTATATATGGAATTTGTCAAAGCTGCTGGTCACATTTATATGAGTTTCATCTATTTTATTGTACTGTCGAAGAAGCTCATCTAAATAATGTTCAAATTAATAAACAACAGCAAACATTTTATAATTTTGAGAAAGAAACTCCACATATTTTGAAAGTGGAGTCATTATCAAATGAGCCATTAATTTTTATCAACGATGAAATTATAACCGATAGTAAAATTGAAGAAAATTTTAAAAAAGAATTGTTCCATTATAACGTAGAAATGGAGACTATAAAGGAAACAGTGTCGAAAAAGAAAAGAGGACGTCCAAGTAAAAGCCATGGTTTAAAAAAGCCCAAGGGTAAGGTAGGACGCCCACGTAAAGTTTTTAAGGAAATAAGCGAGCTTCCCTCAACTAGTGACTTAAGTGACATTTATCCTATTGATCTTTTATGTAATAAGAAACCCAAGGGTAAGGTAGGACGCCCACGGAAATATTTTAAGGAAATGAATGATTTCCCCTCAACAAGTCACTCTTTAATACGAAACGGAACAAGTGCAATGAAAATTTACGCAATGGGTGCAATATCAGGCACTAATAAGAAACCCAAGGGTAAAGTGGGACGCCCAAGAAAATTTTTTCAGGATATAAACGATTTCTCCTCAACTAATAAATCTTTAATAGAAAACGGTTTAAATGTCAAGAAAATGTATGCAATGTGCCCACTCGAAACTAATAATTCCCAATATATAAAACCTAAAAAAAGAGGACGTCCTTTTAAGAAAAAATATATTCAAGAAAATGAAACTATTAATTACCAATTTTCAACTGAAAGAGAAGATTTAGCGATGGAAGAATCTTTGATTCCTGAGGCGCAATTGAATACAGATTGTTCTGAGGAAATATTAAATCACGCACCTTTAAACGATAATGATTTACAAAAAAACAAAGATTTGAAAAATATCTTAAAAAATCATAAGAGAATACAACAACACAAATCTCAAATGCGTAATTATATTGCAACAAGTGTGCGTTGTATGAAATTTTTTAAAGATAAAATTTAATTTTTTATTTTTCAGATATTAAAACGGAACTTTAAATAATTTTTAGAAAAAATATTCGTATCTTTTTAGTTTATTGGTTTTTACCTTTACAGGAGCTATTTTTATAAAATAAAAGAACATTTACTTATGTGATGATTTTTATGTTGTGATTTTGTATACTTTTCATATATGTATGTAAGTGAGAATTGTGTTTACATATGCATACATATGTATGTACTTATTTTAGCACTTTTTGATATCGAAAAATACCGCGGTACCCCCACGATATCTTCAGTAATTTTTCTAACTTATAAACTTCTGATAAATAATCCATATAGTAATCAATAGACCACTAGTCCATAGTATAGTCTATTGTCTGGTCTATATTCTAGTCTTTAGTCCGGTCTATAGTCTAGTCTATAGTCCGGTCTATAGTCTAGTGTCTAATCTATAGTCTAGTCTATAATCTGGTCTATAATCTAGACTATTCTAGTTAATCTACACTTAATCTATATAGGATTATTTTGAATTGATTTATTTAATACTATGCATCAAGTCATGCCAACTTATTCACATATTTTTGCCGTTGCAATTCTTCCCATTCCTTAGGATGTGCATTTTTTCGATGATAATACATAGCACTATTCGAATGAAATGTTTTTGGACAAAATGGACAACTATATAAAGGTATCCCCGTATGTATTGCCATATGTGCCTGCAATAAAGTGTATTATCTACAAAGAAACCCTATTACAACTAAATATTAATATTTACCTTTAACACAGCTGGTTGTTTAAAAGCTTTCTCGCACAATGAACATTTATAGTTGTAGCCCAACTCATGGGTACGTTGTATGTGTGCTTTAAGAGCTCTAAGTGTAGGTGATATTTTCAAACATATTTGACATTTGTGGTCTTTTTTGCCACCCTCTGGATGTTGGGAATTTTTATGACGCTTAAGTCCCACTTTATTGGCCAGTAAAAGCCCACACACATCACAACTAATAGTGGTGGTTTTAGCTTCATGTTTTTGCATATGACTGGTAAATGCACTAGAACAACGTAGAGATTTGCCGCAAATGTAACAGATTTGCAGAAATTTATTTTGATGCATTGCCCCGATATGATGGTTTAATATGGATGAATTGGTGAAACTGAAATCCCTCAATACAATTTATGTACATATTAATTAAAAAAAAAAATACTTACGATTTTCCACAAATTGTACAGGGAAACATCTTTTCGGAAGAATGTGTAAAGAGATGTTTTCGTAGTACTGTTATAGTTACAAACGTCTTACCACATTTATCACATTTAAACTGCTCACTTTCGCCCTTATGTATTTTCAAATGATTAACTAAAACACTGCGATTGGAAAAGACTTTGTCACATTCTTTACATTTAAAATGTTCGGGATCTAAATGAACATAAATATGATCGACTAAAACGGGACGTGAAAAGAATTTTCTATTGCAGCAAAGAGCATAACCACGCTGTTTGTGTTCCTCTTTAAAATGTTTAAGCAATTCTATAAAGTTTACAAATGAAGTTTGGCATAGATTACATTCGATTTGAAAATTGTCTGCTATAATTCTATCATAATCTTTAAGAGCCTTATCATCAGGATTTTGTCGTTTATATAAACATTTATCATCGTTTCGATTAGCCTCAGAGTCACCATTTCTAACAGATACATTAAGACTTTCTGATTTTTCCATTTCTTTACAAGGTGCGACTTTAACTTCAGAAGTTTCGGAATTCTCAGAAATTAATAATTTTCTACTTCGGCCACTCAGTTTCCTATTTTTTAATCTTAGTTTTTTGAAATTTTTAACCACTATTTTATGTTGTTTTGATTTTTTAGTTTTCTGCAGTGAATCTTTAACATTATCTTCATTTTCTTCTTTGTGATCTTTTTTATTTATCGGCACAATTTGGGCATCTAAATCTTCGTTTTCTCTTTTGATATGTACTGCATCCATAACCTGTTCCATCACAATTTCTGTCTCTATTTTTAAATCGGTATGATCATCATTAACAACTTTTTCACTTTCGTTGTCTTTATCATCTTCGATAATAGGCTTTTTGTCATCCTTTTCCACAAACTTGTCCAAATTTGTGTGTGCCTGTTTTATGCGTTCGTAAAATTTATTAAAATTCTGTAATTCGTTTATACAGTCTAAACATATCCAGGAGTTGTCTAAGATTATACTCTAAAATTGTTTTATATTTATTTGTAAATTTTGAAGCAAATAAGATGTTATGTTTCCCAAAACATACCATAGTCCATAAATGTTTCTCAATCAGAAATTTTATTTCCTGTTCATGCCACTTTCCAGAATTCACTTTAATACAATTTGACAACTTTTCCAGGCATAATAAACAGTACTCCATAACGGGAATATGCTATTTTTACGTTTATATGTTATTGCAAAATTGCGTTGTTTTGAGGTATTTAAATGGATTTGTAAAAGGCGAATTCACATAGGGTGGTGTAATTCTATCAGCTGATAATTTTTTAAATTTCGTCTGGTATGCACTGCTGTCAAAGACCACTTTGTTTGCATAGGGGGTTCAAGGCGAATTCAGATAAGGTGGTGTTATTCAATCAGCTGATAATTTTTTTCTTAATTCGCCTGGTTTACGTAGCTGTCAAAGTTTGTTATTGTTTACATTTTTATATTTAAAAATTTCCGTTAAACGGAGAAAAACTTCGTTAATATTTTGAATTATTTATGTAAAAGATCTAAAAATACTAAGCATCTCGTAAACAAATATCATTTTATTTAAATAATGGCATAATTGGTATGTATACAAATATGTTATTTAGGAAAAATATTTTTTTCTATTAAATGTTAACATATTAATATTGTTTTATATTTTATATTAACATTGTGTAGATAACTTAAAAAAAAAATCTCTTCGGGAACACTTTATATAAAGAAACACATATGAAGAATTTAGCCGAACAACGGCAGCTTACTTTTTCATATGGCTTAATTTTGAAATCTATTAAATGTTAACAAATTAAATATTGTTTTATATATACACTATGTAGATAAAGTGATTAACTAAAAAAAAGTGTCTTCCGGAACGCTTTATATAACAAAACCCATATGAGGTATTTACCCGGCCGGCGGCTGCTACATTATGGCCAAATATTGAAAATTACTCCGCCGGAGTAGAATTATCCATTCGCAACAAAGATTCATTCATTCGTTATATATATTTTTTCGTGAATATGTACTTTTTTATGTTTATTTTTCACAAAAGAATTAAGTTTTACTTAACTTTAGCACTCACTTAAATTTTGCAAATTAATCTGCCGGAATAGAATTTTTCGTTTGAAACAAACATTATTCAATTCAAAATATATTTTCTTCACAAATTTTAATATCCGTATCTTTATTTTTAATAAAATATAAAATTTTACTAAAATTTTTCATGAAATGAATTCGCCGCACTTATAGTTTTTGACATCTACGTAAACCAAATGCAAAAACAAAATACATGTAAAATGTTGTTGCTGCAGAACTGCCACCACCTTATCTGAATTCGCCTTAATTTGAGGGGTTTTTTTGTAGGGTTCTATAAATCGACTTTCGAATAATCGAACAATCGACTTTTTGTCGAAAAAAGTCGAAAAGTCGAAGTCGACTATTTTGTTCCAAAAAAGTCGATAACTCGACTATCGTCTATGAAAAAAGTCGAAAAGTCGACTTTGTAAATAAAAGTCGAAAAAAGTCGAAAAGTCAAAAAATCGGAAAGTCGAAAAAAGTCGAAAAATCGAAAAAAGTTGAAAAGTCGAAAAAAGTCGATAAGTCGAAAAAAGTAAAAAAATAGTCGAAAATAGTCGAAAAAAAGTCGAAATAAATCGAAAATAGTCAAAAAGTCGAAAAGTCAGAAAAAGTCGAAAAGTCGGAAAAAGTCGAAAAAAGTCGAAAAGTCGAAAAAAGTCGAAAAGTCGAAAAAAGTCGGAAAAAGTCGAAAAAAATCGAAAAGTCGGAAAAAGTCGAAAAGTCGGAAAAAGTCGAAAAGTCGACCATTTATAAAATACTAAAAGTCGAAAAGTCTAAAAGTCGACTTTTAAATGAAAAAGGTCGAAAAATCGACTTTTCATAAAATGGAAAAAGTCGAAAAGTCGACTTTTAACTAAATGCAAAAAGTCGAAAAGTCGACTTTTCGTTTCAACTATAGAACCCTATTTTTTTGCTATCTCTTTTGTTACGCGTTCGTATTTTTGGCAGTTGCTTTATTTTTATTCTGCACTCAAGGAGTGAAGATCGTGTGTGATCACTCTAATGCATGAAAATGAAAAATATTTTCTATTAAATCTTTACAAATTAAACAATATTAATTAGAATGTGAAGGGTATAAAAATAACACTTGTAGTTCTACCTTTAACGTCCAGTTTAAAAAATAACGGTAAATTTTTAACGTTATGTCTCGTAAACATTTCTGTATTTGTTTACATCAAACAGCTGATTCATTTAACAACTCTGTACTTGTAAACTTTCTACGACGAATTCCCACAAGGTGGGGTTATATTACAGTTGATTGTGAATGCAAATGTCAAACTCCAACTATAAAAAATGATTTCACTACCGTTACTGTCAAACTCCATATATGAAAAAAAGTAAAGACTCGCCTTGGCTATAACCTCGTATAGATGCCTTTATTCATTGTTTACATTTATTTTTGTACAATTCTGCTTGGATTTTTATAATAAACAAAAGTGTTTATTTTTTATTAATTAAACAAAATGGAAGCCTGTTTATTGTGTTTGGATGTTAAGAACAATGTGGACAACATTATAAGAGTGAATTCAAAACAATGGGAAACAGAGAATGTAAAATATTTAATAGAGAAGCATCTGTGGTCCGTGGTAAGTAGCAGGAATTTGCACCAATTACCAAAACTAAAAAATTGAACTTCTCTACAACATAACATTTCTGAAATCATAAATAATTTCTGAAATAAAGTAATTTTCCGAACGATCATTTTGAAGTCTTGTATTAAAAAGCTTTGAAAAGTACATAGATTTTCAACTTTTGGGTGTACCTTGCCATCACTTGATATTATAGAGATGTCCGGATCTTTTGTCTATAGGTACAAATAATACCTTATTTATAAAACCATTGAATTTTTTTCAGGATACTCTTAAAACGTCCAGTTGGATGTGCCATAGTTGTTGGCAAGAATTAGACGATTTTCACCAATTTTATACACGAATAGAGAAAGTCCATTCAGAATTGGGTAAATTAAAAGACATGGAAGATGTGAAAGCTTTAATAGAAAAAAGTGATGAACCATTTTTAAATTTAAATATGTGTAAAGAAGAATTAATGGAAAATTCAGTCCAAACTGAGATTTTAATGGATCAACCCTTATCCACTGAATATGTCAATGAAAGTGAAAATCCTTTAATAAAAGTAGAACAGGATGATGAAGAATTAACGTTAGAAGATATGCCCCTTAAGCAAAGACGCAGACGAGGACGACCACCCAAAAATATGGTATGTAAATTAACACAAAGTAATAAAGATCCATTAATGAAAATAGAAAGAAATAAACTAATAACAAAAAATCAAAAGCGTAAAGACTTTTCAAAAAATTTAATAAATGATCAGCTTGAGAGCAATGATAAGGCGCTAGTAAAAAATGAAATAGAGCCTATAAATATCTCAAAAGAAGCTAATATTTCATCGGATGGCAATGATGACTCTGATACAGAATACGACGAACACGACGATAAACAACAGATGGAAATTTGTAGAAAAAAAACGTAAAAATCCCGATGAAAAGACACGTAAAGAACATGATAAACTTATAGCAGAATATTTTAAGATTTACTGTAGTCTTTGTCAAATACCCATTGAAAATTTTATTGCTTTGCGAAAACATTTTCGCGAAGAGCACGATAAACGCGGCTTTGTAATATGTTGCAAGAAAAAAATATTCACTCGTCCCATACTTGTCGATCATATACACTTTCATTTGGATCCCAACTATTTTAAGTGTAAACAATGTGATAAAATCTACTCGGATCGTTGTACTTTAGAGAGTCATATGAAAATACACGAAGATGGTCAACAAGATCGCAATCATACTTGTGATATCTGCGGCAAATCCTTTGTGGGTATTACACAACTGGAAAATCATAAACAAACTCATGCACCGGATTATGAGAAAAAGTTTTCATGCAATGAATGTGGCAAATTGTAAGTTTTTATATAATTTTTGAAATAAAATTAAAAAAAATTCTAAGTACTTTACTCTTGCAGTTTTACCACATTATACAGTCTAAATTATCACATACAAGCTATACATCACAATAAATATGTAAAAATTTGCGATATTTGTGGCAAAACCATGCGCTGTCGCAATTCCTTTAAACTGCATATGGAAAAACATGACAACAAATTAGCAACACCCATTAATTGTGATATTTGTGGTCTACGTTTAATTGACAGACGCGGCTTAAGGCGCCACAAAAATTCTCAGCATCCAGTTGGTGGTAAGAAAGAGTACTCCTGTCATATATGCTCGAAAATATCCCCAAATCTACGGGCTCTACGCACACATGTACGTTTTGCCCATGAAACTGGCTACATACACAAATGTACAATGTGTGATAAGGCCTTTAAGAGACCAGAAGCATTAAAGGTTTTCATTTAATTTAAATTATCCATGAATAATTTTGGCTATTTAACCATGATGATTTATACTTGCAGGAACATATGGCTACACATACGGGAACCCCTTTGTATACTTGTCCCTGGTGTCCAAAGACATTTATATCGAATGGCAATATGCATAATCATCGTAAAAAGTCTCATCCTAAAGAATGGGAAGAAGCTCAACGACAAAAATATGGTGGAATATTTCCATCGAATCATAAACCACCAGCCATTAGTGTAAAAACAAATACAACAATAAATTAAACAATGTAATGTTTACAAAAAATAGTTTGTTTTTAATTGATTTTAGAGTGAGTATAACAGACGAACTTTATGACATCCGAGGCGTAGGCCATTATACTTCTAGTTATCAGTAGCGATGACTATTGAGCCCCTTGTCTCCTTGTGGTGCCACCTGTCTGAATTTTGTAAAATACTTTGAATTTACTATTATTGTCATGTTTCAGAGGTCACGCGAAGATAGCTGATCTGCTGGGCCCCTATTATGCCGTCGATTATTGTATCCCAGAACTTCAATGCTTTAACTTGTCAAACTGAGTGCTAACTTGAAATTTTCACTGGACTGCACGCCACATCTCTATTCACAACAACTTTATTTTCTATCTTTATCTCTACATTAGTTGTTTTCTTATTACAGGTATTTTTACAAAGGGAGTCTTTGACACAAGTAAATCTTTATCAGTTGCCCAGCTACCTGCTAAAACCTCAACTAAAATTGCCACTCGTAAATAATTTCATTTTCTAATTATAAACTTTTAAAGGACTAACAAGATTTAATTACAAAAATTAAAATTTCAAATTATATACAATGAATAACTACACTACAAGATTTCCACTGAACCAGATCCATATGAAAAACTTCAGTTGATCGATTTAGCAATGTTCGTATGTGAGTTAAAATCGACTTTCCGAAAACTCTACCATCTATCCTATGGAACCTCAACACTACCAGATGCCAGCAAAAAATAATAAAAAAATCATTGTTTTTAGTTGAAAAAAAAGGATCAAAACTCCAATTTATTTTATTATTTTCATAAGCTTTCCAATATTTTCATCTTACAGGCAGTTAAATTGTCTTTTCCAACTGAGTCTTGATGTAATGGTAAAATATTGGAGAATTTCTTTCGATGTGCTTCCTCCAATTCCTGGGGATGTGCATTTTTACGATGATTATGCATGTTACCATTTGATATAAAGGTTTTCGGACACCATGGGCATGTATATAAAGCTGTGCCAGTATGGGTAGCCATATGTTCCTGAAAACAATAATACTATCCCTATGCTATTCACTTTTGAACATAAGTGACAAGAATATTCTTTTTTCCCACCCACTGGATGTTGGGGAATGGGGGGACGAACGAACGAACGAACGAACGAACGAACGAACGAACGAAACGAACGAAGAACGAACGAACGAACGAACTTACGAAACGAACGAACGAACGAACGAACGAACCGAACGAACGAACGAACGAACGAACGAACGAACGAACGAACGAACTAACGAACGAACGAACGAACGAACGAACGAAAGAACGAACGAACGAACTAACGAACGAACTAACGAACGAACGAACGAAACGAACGAACGAACGAACGAACGAACGAACGAACGAACGAACGAACGAACGAACGAACGAAAACTAACGAACGAACGAACGAACGAACGAACGAACTAACGAACGAACGAACGAACGAACGAACTAACGAACTAAACGAACGAAACGAACGAACGAACGAACGAACTAACGAACCTAACTAACTAACGAACGAACTAACGAACGAACGAAACTAACTAACTAACTAAACTAACGAACTAACTAACTAACTAACTAACTAACTAACTAACTAACTAACTAACTAACTAACTAACTAACTATCTATCTAACTAACTAACTAACTAACTAATATTGCTTTTCTTTTGTGTAGAAATCTAGTTTAATTTCGATATGGAAATTTGTTTTCGATACGATGACTCATTCGTTCACCTATGCGGTTGAATCTGGGTTAAACAAATGCAGCAATCGCCAAACTTTTGTTGATATTCGACTGCAATGTTCAAACGAAAAAGTGGACATTGCTGCTTTTGCTACTATACATATAATTTAAAACAGAGTTGTCAAACCGTTCAGCGGATAGAATAGGAAACTCGGGGATGTTGTGATTTATTTGCATTTGGGAAGTTGTAAAATAAACGTTACTTTTAAAATATAACCGAAACAGAGTTTAAAATAATAATACGAAAGCCGTTAACATTCAATTTGTGGATTCACTTTGTAACAGTAATGTCATGTTATCTGCGATAATTCGATATTAATTCAGAATTCTGTAATAGACCGAGTTTAAATTAAATAATTTGTGACTGAAATTATGAACGAAATCTTACTGGTTCAAACCGGTATTTTTTAATCATGAATTAATTTCGCCCACATCCTTTCCCCCTCCAGCAACATCTTTTGTATACAATTTGCTCAAATTCTTCAATTTTTAGTGTTGTTTTTTAGTATTTCTCACGATTTAAATTACAATTTTTGCTTTTATTTTATTTTCCAAATTTAAAAAATTTTTATTTTGAGAACGTTTGCAAAAAGTTGCTAGAGATGTTCGTTGTAATTTCAACTTAGGATTTTTTTATCATGGGAGTTATTAAAAGGTAAACTTTAATCTAATTTCTTTCGAGAAACTTTTAATATGCATTTTCAAATCATTTTTACGACAAAATATCTTGGTTGTAGTTATTGTAAATGCAAATAGAAATCAATTGTGTGTTTGAAGGTTAATTAGCATATAGTTTAACACCTCTGTAATTAGAAATACAACAGCTGCAAAGTTTAACAACTCTGAAATAGCAGAAATTTTTGTTTATTGTTTACAAAAAATATTGTCGAATATTGAATGAATTTGTTTAGTTTCTTTTTTATATTTTAAAATACGGTCCACCATGGATTCTTGTTTACTTTGTTTGGAAATTAATAAAAGTTTGGATGATGAATGCATAAAAGTAAATTCAGAAAAATGGCAACAACAAAACATGAAAGCTTTAATAGATAAACATTTATGGCCAATGGTAGGTGATGTCAGGAAATATATATATCTAGGAATTAGAAATGTGTAATAAGAAATTTTTATTTAAGGAACAACTAAACGCTTCCTCTTGGGTGTGTAAAGATTGTGGAGCAGAATTATATGATTTTCATAAATTTTACAAACGTATAGAGTTGGCTCAACAGAAGTTTGGGCCGGTTTTAAAAAGTGAAGATGAAACGGAAGATTTTGAAGCAAAAGATATGGATTGTGACAGTGAAGATTGTAAAGATAATCTATTTGATAAGAATAGCTTAGTGGAAAGTCATCTAGAGCCACAAGTTATTATGGAACAACCTTTACCCACAGACTTTATATTAGAAGGACCATTTATTAAAAGTGAAATAGCAGAGGAGATCGATCATGATGATATTCCGCTTAAACAACTAAGAAAAAGAGGACGTCCAGCAAAGGATTTTTTGGAACATTCCACTGAAATTAAGGAAGACCCTTTAAAGAAAACTATAAAATATAAAACTAAAAAGAAAATAAAAGAAAAAATTTCAGAGGAAACTGATAAGATAGAAACAGATAAATTGGATATAAAAACTAACACTTTAACTCTAACAGACTCTAAAGATAACAATGACTCCGAAACAGATACCGAAGTAACAACAGCGGAAAGGACAAAAAAGAAAAATCATCGAAATTTGGATGAACAAACTCTAAAGGAATACGATAAAATTATAGCGGATAATTTTAAAATTTTCTGCGATATTTGTCAAAGTGCAATGGATAACTTTTTATCCCTCCGACGACATTTTAAATTGGAACACCAACAACGTGGTTATGCTCGCTGTTGTAAGAGGAATTTCTTCACACGCTCCCTATTAGTGGATCACATAAATGTTCATCTAAATCCCGAATATTTTAAATGCGATCAGTGTGGAAAAGTATTTTCAGATCGTAGTCGTTTGCAATGTCATAAGAAACTGCATGACGATGATAGTAAACTGGATAAATGTGATATCTGTGGTAAATTGTTTGCTGATAAAGGAGCTTTAAAGAAACACGTCTTGACACATTCCTCTCAAAAATTGTTTCCATGTACAATATGTGGTAAATAGTAAGTAGAATTTAAGAAAAATTCCAAAACGCATGCCATATAACCTCCGATCGTATTGGTGTTTCGAAACGTTCTGGAAATAATTCATTCGGCAATGATTTTAATTCGAAATTCTAACCCTTCATTTTTTAATTTTAGCTTTACCAACTCCTTCATCTTAAACCATCACATTGAGGCTGTACATCAGAATAAATTTGTACAAATCTGTGATATTTGTGGCAAATCAATACGTTGTCCCACTGCATTTGCAAGTCATATGGAAAAACATGAAGTAAAATCCACTCCCATTAGTTGTGATGTTTGTGGTCTTTTGCTTTCCAATAAAGAGGGTCTAAAACGTCACAAAAATTCCCAACATCCGGAGGGTGGCAAAAAAGAACACACCTGTCACATCTGCTCAAAAGTATCGCCCACACAAAGGGCTCTTAAATCACATATACGTTCCGTGCACGAACAGGGCTTCGATTACAAGTGCAGTTTGTGTGAAAAGTCATTTAAACGGCCGGCCGTTTTAAGGGTAATTTATTTAAGTAAGTGTTATATTTTAGATTTTTATTAATTTATATATTTTTAGGAACATATGGCTACACATACGGGAACGGCTTTATATACATGTCCATGGTGTCCGCGAACATTTATTTCGAATGGTAATATGTATAATCATCGTAAAAATGCCCATCCAAAAGAATGGGAAGAGTTGAAACGTCAAAAATATGCCGGAAATATATCGTAGTATTTGATTCATGAAGTGTGAAGTTAAAAGTAATTTAATTTTAGTTAATTAAGTCAAGAAGTAACATTATCAGATGATTTAACAATAATCGTTTTTCTGAATCGACCGGTATCAGAGACTAAGCTATTGGCGCTTTTAAAAATCTTTCAAAAGCCTCCGTGTATACTATCTGAGAGAAAGTTCTGTGAAACCTATTATCGCCGCAGGTTGGTAAACGAGACCAAACGAGAAATTATTAGATTTTTTGTAGTTCGCATGTTATGGTCTACAGTTCTATTGCAATTCACCCTGACGAAGCAGCTTTAACATAACTCCTGATTCTGAACGTTGCTAGACTTTTTCTAATCGTTCGGGAAGAGATGAGACGAAATGGAGAGTTGTTTGTTTGCAAACTTCACAACCTTCCTCATTTACATCGCATCTTAAGCACAGGTTGGCCTCGATGGCATATCAATGCTGACGTTAAAACATTCGACTACCTGATGATAGTTCTCAAACTGTGTAGGAAAAGGGTAGGATGATAACGATCTTCAAACCAGGATGTTAGAATCTTGAGACAAACGTTAAAAAACCCATAGAGTTAAACAATATAATAAACTCTCACATAAGAAATTTCTTTAACCACTTGTAAAAAAGTGCTTCGGTGGCCAGATTAAGGCTATGAACCACGCAAAAAGTTTAATTTTACTTCTAACATGCTAACGCAATCACGCACAAATTCCGAAGTAGAAACAATGTTTTTAATGTGCTAGTAGCCAGAACTTAGGAACTAATTGTCATGGATTAAATGCAAACCATTGAAAACATACAAACCATCTTAAATGCCATACCAACTTAATGAATTGGGAATGACAATTTTTTAATTAATTTCTGTAATTTAGATAAGTTTTCTTAAAAAGTCATTTTTATATTTCCTTTTTTTCAAGTTCAATTCATTGTAAATCACATTAAACAATAAAGTTTATTTTATATTTGAATTATTCTAGATATTTTTTGTTTTTTTAATAAATCGTTAAATTAAAATGTCTTTCAGGTTAATGAATGAATTGAATATCCTAGAGTAACCACATTTATGTTAACTTGTCAATATTTTTAAAAGAAAATAATATGCAATATTTTAATAATAATGGTAATAAGTTAGATTTTTTTTAATTTTCTACCATAGCGTTACTCTTCACCCTGTATTTATAATGTACGTTATTCAAAACAGCTGTTGTTTAACATCTCTGTAAATTCATTCTACACAGCACAAGGAACACAAAAATAACGGCGCTATTTACAATAACACAAAGTAAATAATAGTTGATATAAATAAATTGAATTAATCCAAGATTTTCCAAATTATGGTACGGTTTTTTATTGATACTGTGGCAAGTTAATTCATATAAGAGTAATGGGAATTTTAGTATAATTGCCGGTTCACACAGGGAAACTTTTGAATTTTTGTGTAAAAAAAAGTGAACGAAATATCAACCATCTCTTTCTCCCAAAAAAATCAAAAGTTCCACAAAAAAAGTTTCCGTTGTGAACCGCCACTTAATTGAATTTAAAGTATTGTGTAATCATATTTATGTCATAAGCCGCCAAGCAAGATGAAAGTTGACGACTTCAAAGTTATAATTTAAGCGACTCAGATTTTATAATTTTTGCGCGCTCTCTCAAATAACAAAAAAAAAAGGCGAAGAAACAAAAATCAAATTGTATTAAAATAAAGTATTTTTGTTAATATTAATTATAATACCATGTCCACCATAAATGACGATGACATTTTAATAACTTTCGACGAACTGTGCCAATTAGATAAGGCGGATATTTCCGTATGTGTTGATAAATACAGTGCTTTAAGCATTTGTGAGAAAAGCTCTGCTCCACCTAGTGAAATTTATAATATCTGGGTGCAAAAACTACTCAAAGCCTATGATACGCAGGGATTTTCCTACAAAGATTGGCAACGGATTATACAGCAATTGAGCAAAGCGCTGCAAGAGGTAAGTCAATTTTGTTTCGGAATTCCTTTTGTTAAGAAGAAGTTTGCATTCCACTTTTTAAATTCTTTTATTGTAATTAACAGTTTGTTAAAAATGTAAACACTGCCAATGATTTGAGTGTAAAACAACTGGATCAGTGGTGGTTGGACACTCAAGATTTGCTGAAATGGTTAGAGACTGTCATCAACTCCCTGGATATGCTCGTAATGAGTTTAATATTGACCTTTGTTTTGGAAGTAATTATTAAAACTTGTAAATTTGCCAATAAGAGGTAAGCCATTGATAGATAGATAGATAGATAGATAGATAGATAGATAGATTGATAGATAGATAGATAGATAGTAGATAGATAGATAGATAGATAGATAGATAGATAGATAGATAGATAGATAGATAGATAGATAGATAGATAGATAGATAGATAGATAGATAGATAGATAGATAGATAGATAGATAGATAGATAGATAGATAGATAGATAGATAAAGATAATAGATAGATAGATAGATAGATAGATAGATAGATAATTAGATAGGATAGATAGATAGATTAGCTAGATAGATAGATAGATAGATAGATAGATAGATTAGATAGATAGATAGATAGATAGATAGATAGATATATAGATTAGATAGAGATAGATAGATAGATAGATAGATAGAAAGATAGATAGATTAGATAGATAGTATATAGAGCGATATATAGATAGAATAGTAGATTAGATAGATAGATAGATAGATGATTAGATAGATAGAAGATAGATAAGATAGATAAGCTAGATAGATAGATAGATAGATAGATAGATAGATAGATAAGATGATAGATAGATAGGATAGATAGATTAGATAGATAGATAGATAGATAGATAGATAGATAGATAGGATAGATAGATAGATAGATAGATAGAGAGATAGATAGATAGATAGATAGATAGATAGATAGATAGATAGATAGATAGATAGATAGATAGATAGAGATAGATAGATAGATAGATAGATAGATAGATAGATAGATAGATAGATAGATAGATAGATAGATAGATAGAGATAGATAGATAGATAGATAGATAGATAGTAGATAGATAGATAGATAGATAGATAGATAGATAGATAGATATAGATAGATAGATAGATAGATAGATAGATAGATAGATAGATAGATAGATAGATAGATAGATAGATAGATAGATAGATAGATAGATAGATAGATAGATAGATAGATAGATAGATAGATAGATAGAGATAGATAGATAGATAGATAGATAGATAGATAGATAGATAGATAGATAGATAGATAGATAGATAGATAGATAGATAGATAGATAGATAGATAGATAGATAGATAGATAGATAGATAGAATAGATAGATAGATAGATAGATAGATAGATAGATAGATAGATAGAGATAGATAGATAGATAGATAGATAGATAGATAGATAGATAGATAGATAGATAGATAGATAGATAGATAGATAGATAGATAGATAGATGAAGATAGATAGATAGATAGATAGAAGATAAGATAGATAGATAGATAGATAGATAAGATAGATAGATAGATAGATAGATAGATAGATAGATAGATAGATAGATAGATAGATAGATAGATAGATAGATAGATAGATAGATAGATAGATAGATAGATAGATAGATAGATAGATAGATAGCTAGAAAGATAGATAGATAGATAGATTAGATAGATAGATAGATAGATAGATAGATAGATATAGATAGATAGATAGATAAGATAGATAGATAGATAGATAGATAGATAGATAGATAGATAGATAGATAGATAGATAGATAGATAGATAGATAGATAGATAGAAGATAGATAGATAAGATAGATAGATAGATAGATAGATAGATAGATAGATAGATAGATAGATAGATAGATAGATAGATAGATAGATAGATAGAGTAGATAGATAGATAGATAGATAGATAGATAGATAGATAGATAGATAGATAGATAGATAGATAGATAGATAGATAGATAGATAGATAGATAGATAGATAGATAGATAGATAGATAGATAGATAGATAGATAGATAGATAGATAGATAGATAGATAGATAGATAGATAGATAGATAGATAGATAGATAGATAGATAGATAGATAGATAGATAGATAGATAGATAGATAGATAGATAGATAGATAGATAGATAGATAGATAGATAGATAGATAGATAGATAGATAGATAGATAGATAGATAGATAGATAGATAGATAAGATAGATAGATAGATAGATAGATAGATAGATAGATAGATAGATAGATAGATAGATAGATAGATAGATAGATAGATAGATAGATAGATAGATAGATAGATAGATAGATAGATAGATAGATAGATAGATAGATAGATAGATAGATAGATAGATAGATAGATAGATAGATAGATAGATAGATAGATAGATAGATAGATAGATAGATGATAGATAGATAGATAGATAGATAGATAGATAGATATATAGATAGATAGATCGATAGATAGATAGATAGATAGATAGATAGATAGATAGATAGATAGATAGATAGATAGATAGATAGATAGATAGATAGATAGATAGATAGATAGATAGATAGATAGATAGATAGATAGATAGATAGATAGATAGATAGATAGATAGATAGATAGATAGATAGATAGATAGATAGATAGATAGATAGATAGATAGATAGATAGATAGATAGATAGATAGATAGATAGATAGATAGATAGATAGATAGATAGATAGATAGATAGATAGATAGATAGATAGATAGATAGATAGATAGATAGATAGATAGATAGATAGATAGATAGATAGATAGATAGATAGATAGATAGATAGATAGATAGATAGATAGATAGATAGATAGATAGATAGATAGATAGATAGATAGATAGATAGATAGATAGATAGATAGATAGATAGATAGATAGATAGATAGATAGAAGATAGATAGATAGATAGATAGATAGATAGAAGATAGATAGATAGATAGATAGATAGATAGATAGATAGATTCGATAGATAGATAGATAGATTACATACATAGATCGATTTTCCAAGAACAAGAAGTGTTGCCGCCGATTACTTAACATTAAATGTCATAAGTTTTTTGTCACAGTTGTTGTAATACTAAAATTTCGAAATTTGAAATACTTCACAAATCTCTTAAAATCTTAAATAAATTCCTTTAAAACTTTTAGCAATATTAAAAACTTATTGAGTATACAAGAGTTGTTATTAACTATCATTAATAAATCACTTTTGATAATGCCTATTATGGAGCTAATGCGTTTAAAGGTTTTAATAAAGGTAAAAACAAGATTTCTTTTTAAATTATTCATTTAAAAATATAAATAATTTTATTTAATTTTTAAGTATTAACATCATTGTGTGATGTTGGCTGTTTGATATCTTCGGCGGATATTAAAACAACTATTGAAACCTGGCGTGCTGTAGTCAAACTAAGTGAAAGTTTAATAACAGTTACATCAATTTTCCAGTTATTAAAATAGAGAATTCTACAAATACCGAAATGCATTGGTATGAGAAAGCTATTTTGGGTATATTTAAGGAAATAAAACAAATTGTACAAGTCTATAATAAGGTAAGTTTAATAATCTAGAAATAATTTAATTGTTATTTTACTTTATTTACTTATAATATTTTGCATTTTCTAAACTTTTGTTGTTTTAAAATTGTTTTAAATTTTCTATTTTTTTTTTCAATTTTCCAGAATATAACCTCCAGTAGTGACAACTTGTTACAAATTGCACAATTTTATTTGAAAATTCTTAGATTGCTTATTAATTATTCCAGGAATAAAATTAAAACATTTCCAGCTACAAAGGAATTCTTGGAAATATATTCATTTTGTCAGCAGTAAGTTAGATTTGAAAATGTTCTGATATATTATCCTCAATTTGCACAAATTAATTATTTTAGTGAAATGTTGAAAAACAAAAATCCCAAATTGAGTTATTTATTCGAAAAGGTCTATTTGATATATTTTCTTTAATACACACTGAAAATGATATGGTAGAGGTAAGTTTTTAAATTGTTTTTCTTTTTATAAATAATAAATTTTGTTAATTTTTGTAAAGTGCCTTTTACATCATCTTAAATATGATGTGAATAACTTCGAATCATGTGAATTAATACAGGACTTTCTTAAAGTTAAGGTGGAACATTGTGTTAATAATGGTTTAAATGTTACACCCGAAGTAGATGTATTATTGAAGTTTTATAATTGTTTATTTGAAGGTATATTTTTTTGCAAAGAAACTGAAAAACATTTAAATATAATTTTAACTTTAAAGGACCTTTAATATTTGTCGATAAGGATAAATATAATAAAATATTGGAATATTTTGTTGCTTTAACTGCTTTGGACACAAGCTATAAACTACATAAGAAATTGTGTGAATATGTAGTAGACTCAGCTTGGATAAGAGCTTACACCAGTATGGAAATATTAAACATGTATTACAGGTAAAGTTTTAGATTCTTAAGTTATGTTATATGAATTCAAATCATTGAAAAAATTTACTTACTCTACAGAAAGTCATAGAAACAAGGTAGTTTTCGGCATTCTTATAATTATGGAATAAATAAGAAATGTGCCAGCAAATCTAATATGTATATTGTTTAGTGATTCCACAGTTTGCTTGAAATGAATTCAAATTTATTTTAAATGGGATAAATAATTTATATTCAATACAGACAGGGATCTTCTAGTTCTATTTTAGTTCTAGGTCAGATATAGTTCAGTTCTAGTTCATTTCTAGTTCAGTTCTAGTTCTAGTTCAGTTCTAGTTCATTTCTAGTTCAGTTCTAGTTCAGTTCTAGTTCAGTTCTAGTTCAGTTTTAATTCAATTCTAGTTCTAGTTCAGTTCTAGTTCAGTTCTAGTTCAGTTCTAGTTCAGTTCTTAGTTCAGCTCTAGTTCAGTTCTAGTTCAGTTCTAGTTCTGTTCTAGTTCAGTTCTAGTTCTAGTTCAGTTCTAGTTCAGTTCTAGTTCAGTTCTAGTTCAGTTCAAGTTCCAGTTCAAGTTCAGTTCTTAGTTCAGTTCTAGTTCAGTTCTAGTTCAGTTCTAGTTCAGTTCTGCTTCAGGTTCTAGTTCAGTTCTAGTTCTAGTTCTAGTTCAGTTCTAGTTCAGTTCTAGTTCAGTTCAGTTCAGTCTAGTTCAGTTCTAGTTCAGTTCTAGTTCAGTTCTAGTTCAGTTCTAGTTCAGTTCTAGTTCAGTTCTAGTTCAGTTCTAGTTCAGTTTCTAAGTTCTAGTTCAGTTCTAGTTCAGTTTTTTCCTTTAGTTCAGTTCTAAGATAGTCAGTTCTAGTTCAGTTCTAGTTCAGTTCTAGTTCAGTTCTAGTTCAGTTCTAGTTCAGTTCTAGTTCAGTTCTAGTTCAGTTTAGTTTCAGTTCTAGTTCAGTTCTAGTTCAGTTCTAGTTCAGTTCTAGTTCAGTTCTAGTTCAGTTCTAGTTCAGTTCTAGTTCAGTTCTAGTTCAGTTCTAGTTCAGTTCTAGTTCAGTTCTAGTTCAGTTCTAGTTCAGTTCTAGTTCAGTTCTAGTTCAGTTCTAGTTCAGTTCTAGTTCAGTTCTAGTTCAGTTCTAGTTCAGTTCTAGTTCAGTTCTAGTTCAGTTCTAGTTCAGTTCTAGTTCAGTTCTAGTTCAGTTCTAGTTCAGTTCTAGTTCAGTTCTAGTTCAGTTCTAGTTCAGTTCTAGTTCAGTTCTAGTTCAGTTCTAGTTCAGTTCTAGTTCAGTTCTAGTTCAGTTCTAGTTCAGTTCTAGTTCAGTTCTAGTTCAGTTCTAGTTCAGTTCTAGTTCAGTTCTAGTTCAGTTCTAGTTCAGTTCTAGTTCAGTTCTAGTTCAGTTCTAGTTCAGTTCTAGTTCAGTTCTAGTTCAGTTCTAGTTCAGTTCTAGTTCAGTTCTAGTTCAGTTCTAGTTCAGTTCTAGTTCAGTTCTAGTTCAGTTCTAGTTCAGTTCTAGTTCTGTTCAGTTCTAGTTCCTTCTAGTTCAGTTCTAGTTCAGTTTCGTTCAGTTCTAGTCAGTTCTAGTTCAGTTCTAGTTCAGTTCTATTCAGTTCTAGTTCAGTTCTCGTTCAGTTCTAGTTCAATTCTAGTCAGTTTAGTTCAGTTCTAGTTCAGTTCTAGTCAGTTCTAGTTCAGTTCTAGTTCAGTTCTAGTTCAGTTCTAGTTCAGTTCTAGTTCAGTTCTAGTTCAGTTCTAGTCAGTTCGTAGTTCAGTTCTAGTTCAGTTCTAGTTCAGTTCTAGTTCAGTTCTAGTTCAGTTCTAGTTCAGTTCTAGTTCAGTTCTAGTTCGTTCTAGTTCAGTTCTAGTCAGTTCTAGTTCAGTTCTAGTTCAGTCTAGTTCAGTTCTAGTTCAGTTCTAGTTTCAGTTCTAGTTCAGTTCTAGTTCAGTTCTAGTTCAGTTCTAGTTCAGTTCTAGTTCAGTTCTAGTTCAGTTCTAGTTCAGTTCTAGTTCAGTTCTAGTTCAGTTCTAGTTCAGTTCTAGTTCAGTTCTAGTCAGTCTAGTTCAGTTCTAGTTCAGTTTCTTTAGTTCAGTTCTAGTTCAGTTCTAGTTCAGTTCTAGTTCAGTTCCTAGTTCAGTTCTAGTCAGTTCTAGTTCTAGTTCAGTTCTAGTTCAGTTCTAGTTCAGTTCTAGTTCAGTTCTAGTTCAGTTCTAGTTCAGTTCTAGTTCAGTTCTAGTTCAGTTCTAGTTCAGTTCTAGTTCAGTTCTAGTTCAGTTCTAGTTCAGTTCTAGTTCAGTTCTAGTTCAGTTCTAGTTCAGTTCTAGTTCAGTTCTAGTTCAGTTCTAGTTCAGTTCTAGTTCAGTTCTAGTTCAGTTCTAGTTCAGTTCTAGTTCAGTTCTAGTTCAGTTCTAGTTCAGTTCTAGTTTCAGTTCTAGTTCAGTTCTAGTTCAGTTCTAGTTCAGTTCTAGTTCAGTTCTAGTTCAGTTCTAGTTCAGTTCTAGTTCAGTTCTAGTTCAGTTCTAGTTCAGTTCTAGTTCAGTTCTAGTTCAGTTCTAGTTCAGTTCTAGTTCAGTTCTAGTTCAGTTCTAGTTCAGTTCTCGTTCAGTTCTAGTTCAGTTCTAGTTCAGTTCTAGTTCAGTTCTAGTTCAGTTCTAGTTCAGTTCTAGTTCAGTTCTAGTCAGTTCTAGTTCAGTTCTAGTTCAGTTCTAGTTCAGTTCTAGTTCAGTTCTAGTTCAGTTCTAGTTCAGTTCTAGTTCAGTTCTAGTTCAGTTCTAGTTCAGTTCTAGTTCAGTTCTAGTTCAGTTCTAGTTCAGTTCTAGTTCAGTTCTAGTTCAGTTCTAGTTCAGTTCTAGTTCAGTTCTAGTTCAGTTCTAGTTCAGTTCTAGTTCAGTTCTAGTTCAGTTCTAGTTCAGTTCTAGTTCAGTTCTAGTTCAGTTCTAGTTCAGTTCTAGTTCAGTTCTAGTTCAGTTCTAGTTCAGTTCTAGTTCAGTTCTAGTTCAGTTCTAGTTCAGTTCTAGTTCAGTTCTAGTTCAGTTCTAGTTCAGTTCTAGTTCAGTTCTAGTTCAGTTCTAGTTCAGTTCTAGTTCAGTTCTAGTTCAGTTCTAGTTCAGTTCTAGTTCAGTTCTAGTTCAGTTCTAGTTCAGTTCTAGTTCAGTTCTAGTTCAGTTCTAGTTCAGTTCTAGTTCAGTTCAGTTTCTAGTTCAGTTCTAGTTCAGTTCTAGTTCAGTTCTAGTTCATTTCTAGGTCAGTTCTAGTTCAGTTCAGTGCAGTCTAGTCAGTTCTAGTTCAGTTCTAGTTCAGTTCTAGTTCATTCTAGTTAGTCAGAGGTAACCAGTCGTAGGGAACCTTTGGGTAAGTGTAAAATTTAAAAAACCGACCTCGACCAATATTTGTTGCTTGTTTTTCTTCTGAGTTTTGACCGACGATTAGTAGTACAAACAATTAGCAAATGTATTCTAATGACATCTGTTTATAAAAGTTTAGATTGCTACCCTTTTGCTTCTATAGTAAACAACATATTTATTATATTTCAAAAACCCTCTAAATTTCAGTTACATTTTCAAACAACGAAAAACTGATACCAATTTCAAATGTTTGGAGTTTTGGCTTAAAGTGTGGAATAAATTAAACCAATCTAATGAAATTTTAAGAAAACATAAAAAACTAGTTGAAATTTTACTTAAAACCATCTTACACCATACAAACACTGATATACTACAACAAAACGTTTCTAATAAATATGAAAATGTGGAAATTATACTATTATTAAGTGGCAGGGAAACTGAACAACATCGGCAATATTTACAAACAACTTTGGTGAAAAATTTAAATAAATTACAAAAACGTCAGATAAATATTACAACATACACAGAATTGGTAAGAATTTATAAATTTAATTTATTTTTTGATTATTTAGCATTTTATTTTAAATTTCAGCTCAACTTATTGGAAATCTGTAAACTCAAACCACAACTAATAAATCATAATATCCAGGAATGCCTCTTAAATACATTTACCAGTTTAATTTCTTTAGCAGCCCAGGAACTTAAAAAATTTCGTGAATTTATAAATAAAACTCTAAGAATATTCTATTTAAAACATGATAAGCAACTTAATGACAAACTATTATTATTTTTATTCGAACATGAACAGCAATGCTTTACTATAAAAAGTGTATTTCTAATAGAATTTTTGCTACAACAAAAACCCGATTCTACTAAACTATTACAAACGCTACAAACCTCTGACAAACAACAGACTACTAACCTAAGCAATTTGCTAGAACATACAACTCTAAACAAGGAGCTAATAGATTTAAAAGTTTTTCAAGATTTAAGCAAAACTTTACAACAATCAAGTAGCCCTGAAATGGATTCACAACAAATTACAAAGAAGCCACGTCTTGATAAAGGTAATTTTTCAAATATTAAATTTATTTTAAATGATCTAAATGCAAACACACAAAAACTTTTACAAATTGAACGTTCGACATTTGATGCAAATGATATTGCTTTAATACAAGTGATCAGAAGCAATCTAAACAAATGTTTAAGCAAGTAAATTATACATGTAAAAAAGGGTTTTTTGTTTATTATTAAAATTATATTAAACTTAAATTTATATACACAATTTTTAACTTAAAAATAAAATTATCCTATAACTAAAATCTAAAAATAAAACGGCAAGGTTTTTTAAAATAATACATTCACAGTTAAAATAATTTACTTAAAACTAATTTAGGTATCATTATTGCTTTTGAAATAAAGCTATTGTTATATTTTTACGTTGCAATGAATTTATTATACGATCATAGGTTGCTTCTTCCTCTTCATTTTGCATTAAAATGCCTAAAGAAATGATAATTTATGATATGTTATCCAGTATAATGTTTATTAAAGTTGGTAGACTTACCGGCAAAACTGGCGGACATAAAGCAGACTATACTGCCCACAATGAAAGCTCTAAAAGCTACTGATGTTATGAGGCCTCTACGTTTTGGTGCCATAGCACCCAACGAACCAATTAATATGCCCAGCGAACTGGGATTAGCAAAGCCACAAATCGCAAATGTTGCAATACCGGCACTGCGGGCCTATAAGGATTTGAAAATTTAAAGTTTTAATAAATTCTGTTTAGAAATGTACATCTTTGTCGTTGCAGTAAGCTCGGTCCTAGTTCAGTTCAAGTTCAGTTCAAGTTCAGTTCAAGTTCAGTTCAAGTTCAGTTCAAGTTCAGTTCTAGTTCAGTTCAGTTCAGTTCTAGTTCAGTTCTAGTTCTAGTTCAGTTCTAGTTCAGTTCTAGTTCAGTTCTAGTTCAGTTCTAGTTCAGTTCTAGTTCAGTTCTAGTTCAGTTCTAGTTCAGTTCTAGTTCAGTTCTAGTTCAGTTCTAGTTCTGTTCTAGTTCAGTTCTAGTTCAGTTCTAGTTCAGTTCTAGTTCAGTTCTAGTTCAGTTCTAGTTCAGTTCTAGTTCAGTTCTAGTTCAGTTCTAGTTCAGTTCTAGTTCAGTTCTAGTTCAGTTCTAGTTCAGTTCTAGTTCAGTTCTAGTTCAGTTCTAGTTCAGTTCTAGTTCAGTTCTAGTTCAGTTCTAGTTCAGTTCTAGTTCAGTTCTAGTTCAGTTCTAGTTCAGTTCTAGTTCAGTTCTAGTTCAGTTCTAGTTCAGTTCTAGTTCAGTTCTAGTTCAGTTCTAGTTCAGTTCTCAGTTCTAGTCAGTTCTAGTTCAGTTCTAGTTCAGTTCTAGTTCAGTTCTAGTTCAGTTCTAGTTCAGTTCTAGTTCAGTTCTAGTTCAGTTCTAGTTCAGTTCTAGTTCAGTTCTAGTTCAGTTCTAGTTCAGTTCTAGGTTTCTAGTTCAGTTCTAGTTCGTAGTCAGTTCTAGTTCAGTTCTAGTCAGTTCTAGTTCAGTTCTAGTTCAGTTCAGTTCATTTCTAGTTCAGTTCTAGTTCAGTTTCTAGTTCAGTTCTAGTTCAGTTCTAGTTCAGTTCTAGTTCAGGTTCTAGTTCAGTTCTAGTTCAGTTCTAGTTCAGTTCTAGTTCAGTTCTAGTTCAGTTCTAGTTCCGTCGAGTTCTAGTTCAGTTCTAGTTCAGTTCTAGTTCAGTTCTAGTTCCAGTTCTAGTCAGTCTAGTTCAGTTCTAGTCAGTTCTAGTTAGTTCTAGTTCAGTTCTAGTTCAGTTCTAGTTCAGTTCTAGTTCAGTTCTAGTTCAGTTCTAGTTCAGTTCTAGTTCAGTTCTAGTTCAGTTCTAGTTCAGTTCTAGTTCAGTTCTAGTTCAGTTCTAGTTCAGTTCTAGTTCAGTTCTAGTTCAGTTCTAGTTCAGTTCTAGTTCAGTTCTAGTTCAGTTCTAGTTCAGTTCTAGTTCAGTTCTAGTTCAGTTCTAGTTCAGTTCTAGTTCAGTTCTAGTTCAGTTCTAGTTCAGTTCTAGTTCAGTTCTAGTTCAGTTCTAGTTCAGTTCTAGTTCAGTTTTAGTTCAGTTCTACTTCAGTTCTAGTTAAGTTCTAGTTCTAGATATAAACAAGTTTTGACAAATATATTTTCAACTCACCCCTATAGCTTTAGAAGTTATTAAAACGCCCAATTTTTCATATGCCACAAATTCATTGATAATTGACTTAGTAGCAATTACTTTTGCCACTGCATCACAATCATCCCACGGTACACCCATAATCCAGGCTAATGGTATAAAGATTTTCGAGAATAGCCATTCGAAATCGATGTAATCTACACCCACCAATGTGCCAAACCAATTGACCACCGCATTTAAAAAGGCGATAAAGGCTACAAAAGCCACTATATTGGAAATAATACCCAAAACAATGGGCACAGCATTACTGGCACCATTCGAGGCAGCATCTAAAATCGAAGAATCTTCTCTAAAACACAATGAAAAAAAACATTATTATTTAATAAGCAGAATCACTCTAAAACTTACGATTTCTCCAATTCTATATTATCTGAGGTGGTTTTACTTTCCTCCGTTTCGGGCATATATAATTTCGATATGGCCAAGGTGGCGGGGGCAGCCATAACACTAGATGTTATCAAATGGGCTGCTGAAGCACCAAAACTTAAATAAGCCGCTAATACTGTACCGGAAACTGTAGCGAAGCCAGAAACCATAATGGAATGTATTTCACTAGCAGTCAATTTCTTAATATAGGGTCGTATGAGTAAAGGACTTTCCGACATTCCCAAAAATATATTGGCGGCCGCAGTAACACTTTCACATACGGTTGTACCTAACATTTGCTGTAAAATCCAACCCAATTTCAAAACAACCCATTGCATGGCGCCCAAGTAGTAGAGGATTGATATAAAGAAACTAAAGAAGAATATCACGGATAGTATTGCAAAGGCAAATACACCCTGATCTATAATAGTATCACCATAAACGAAACGACTACCCTCATCGGCAAAGGACAAGAAAGTGGCTGTCTTATTGCCAATACACTCAAAGATGCTACGGCCCACACTCCAACGTATACAGATGACACCGAGGAAAAATTGGCACGCTATGCCGGTAATTACAATGCGCCATTTAATGGCTGAACGTGCTGTTGAGAACATATAACCGAGCAGTATAAAACAGCAAGGTCCAATCAGTGAGATCAGCTTCTCTGGTTCATCTCTAGTCTCGAAATACAAAAAGATGACCAATACCAGCACAAGCAAACCAATAAGTACGGAGGATATAAATCTGAAAAGAAAATTTTATATCTTCGCCATAACATTAGCCATTTGTCTTCCCTACCTTGTTCTACTAAATTTCATCCACCATTTATCTAAGGGCTTTAAGTAGAGGCGATGTAAACGTTTACCCACCATGGGTTTAAAAATATAATAATAGATTAGACCCAAATATATAAAACCAAGTAATAAGACCAAAAATCCATAGCCACTGCAAAAACGTATTGAACACTGCAACTCATCGCCATAATAACATTCATCCTCTTTGTTAATTAAAATATTTGTTAAATTAATAAAATTTTTTATATAATTTTTAAATTAAAGATTTCACTTACTTTGATCAATATAATAATAGGTGGCATAACCAAAATATGCTCCTACCGCTGCGTGTAGTATAAATAATAATGATCGTTTGGTCCATATTTCTAAAGTTGTTTTCGGTTTTATTACTTTCTCTTTATCTTCAAATTCAGCAATTTGAAATTCAGTCTTATAGTTTTCAACACCATTTTCTAAGGTCTGTAAATTTTTTTGAGGAATTATTATAGAAAATTTTATATTTTTTTTAATTATGTGAAAGCTTTACATACCTCATCAATAGTATAAGCTTTATTGATTTCGCCTTCTTTTGATTCTTCCATTGTGCTAAATGTAAAATTAAGATGTTTTATTAGTTTCTAGTTAGGAAATTCTATATAAAATTTGTAACAAATTTTCCACTCAATTCCTTATTCTTAGTCTAGTCTATAGACTAGTGTATAGTCTAGTCTATAGACTAGTGTATAGTCTAGTCTATAGTCTAGTCTATAGTCTAGTCTATAGTCTAGTCTATAGTCTAGTCTATAGTCTAGTCTATAGTCTAGTCTATAGTCTAGTCTATAGTCTAGTCTATAGTCTAGTCTATAGTCTAGTCTATAGTCTAGTCTATAGTCTAGTCTAGTCTAGTCTATAGTCTAGTCTATAGTCTAGTCTATAGTCTAGTCTATAGTCTAGTCTATAGTCTAGTCTATAGTCTAGTCTATAGTCTAGTCTATAGTCTAGTCTATAGTCTAGTCTATAGTCTAGTCTATAGTCTAGTCTATAGTCTAGTCTATAGTCTAGTCTATAGTCTAGTCTATAGTCTAGTCTATAGTCTAGTCTATAGTCTAGTCTATAGTCTAGTCTATAGTCTAGTCTATAGTCTAGTCTATAGTCTAGTCTATAGTCTAGTCTATAGTCTAGTCTATAGTCTAGTCTATAGTCTAGTCTATAGTCTAGTCTATAGTCTAGTCTATAGTCTAGTCTATAGTCTAGTCTATAGTCTAGTCTATAGTCTAGTCTATAGTCTAGTCTATAGTCTAGTCTATAGTCTAGTCTATAGTCTAGTCTATAGTCTAGTCTATAGTCTAGTCTATAGTCTAGTCTATAGTCTAGTCTCTAGTCTAGTCTATAGTCTAGTCTATAGTCTAGTCTAGTCTATAGTCTAGTCTATAGTCTAGTCTATAGTCTAGTCTATAGTCTAGTCTATAGTCTAGTCTAGTCTATAGTCTAGTCTATAGTCTAGTCTAGTCTAGTCTATAGTCTAGTCTATAGTCTAGTCTATAGTCTAGTCTATAGTCTAGTCTATAGTCTAGTCTATAGTCTAGTCTATAGTCTAGTCTATAGTCTAGTCTATAGTCTAGTCTATAGTCTAGTCTATAGTCTAGTCTATAGTCTAGTCTATAGTCTAGTCTATAGTCTAGTCTATAGTCTAGTCTATAGTCTAGTCTATAGTCTAGTCTATAGTCTAGTCTATAGTCTAGTCTATAGTCTAGTCTATAGTCTAGTCTATAGTCTAGTCTATAGTCTAGTCTATAGTCTAGTCTATAGTCTAGTCTATAGTCTAGTCTATAGTCTAGTCTATAGTCTAGTCTAGTCTATAGGCTAGTCTATAGTCTAGTCTATAGTCTAGTCTATAGTCTAGTCTATAGTCTAGTCTAGTCTAGTCTATAGTCTATAGTCTAGTCTATAGTCTAGTCTATAGTCTAGTCTATAGTCTAGTCTATAGGCTAGTCTATAGTCTAGTCTATAGTCTAGTCTATAGTCTAGTCTATAGTCTAGTCTATAGTCTAGTCTATAGTCTAGTCTATAGTCTAGTCTATAGTCTAGTCTATAGTCTAGTCTATAGTCTAGTCTATAGTCTAGTCTATAGTCTAGTCTATAGTCTAGTCTATAGTCTAGTCTATAGTCTAGTCTATAGTCTAGTCTATAGTCTAGTCTATAGTCTAGTCTATAGTCTAGTCTATAGTCTAGTCTATAGTCTAGTCTATAGTCTAGTCTATAGACTAGTCTAAATTCTAGTCTTGTTTATTGTTTGAACAGATGTTCATTTTCTAAATTAAATCATTTCCTGCAATCATCTATGTATTAGTGAAAGACAATACATTTGATTAATAACACTGTTTAATAAAGTAATAAATAACTTTTATTTACGTATAACTTTCTATTATAAATAATCACTAACTTATCATTTAATTTTTTTATAAAAAGAAATTACTTTTTTATAGATTAGATTTTGATTTTATTAATTGTTGTTAAATATTTATTAAAGTTTATCAAGTGTATTTTTAATAACATTGTAAATCGTTTGTCTATCAATAGAAAAGGAGTAGATTTGATTACATTATTGAAGTATAAGTTTTCTTGGCCACATGTTGCTGCAACAAAAACGATTGCAACATAAGAATGCAATATCACTAATTAGCATACAATATGACCAAAAACCGATTACAATTACTTGTAATTTTAATGGAAGTTTTGACAATTACAATTACTTGTAATTGCAATTGAAGTTTCCAAGTAAAATTACATGTAATTGTAATTTAGGTATTACTAATTACAAAATTACATGTAATTATAAGGAATAAAATTTACAATTACAAGTAATTGTAACTGGAAATTCTTCAATTACAATTAGAAGTAATTATAATTGGCAAAACTTCAATTATAATTACAATCAATTAAAATTACAAATAATTGTAATTGGATAAACTTCAATTACAATTACAAGTAATTGTAATTGGTGAATCTTCAATTACAATTACTTGAAATGTAATCGTAATTGAAAATGTAGTCATTATCCCCCATGCCTGCTAGTAAATAGGTTTCACGAGTAACTGCAGGTTCTATATCCATTTATTTCCAGAAACTAGGTTGAATCCCTTGATCCTCAGTCTACTTTTAGTTCTTACTCATTTTTCTTTTCTCTCTGCTTTTCTAAATTATTCTCTAACTCTTTGTAGCATAACTCTTCTTAACCTATCTTTGTTTATCAAATTTGTTATGACATCTGAAAGTCCAATCTGTCGACTTTAAGAAGTCCTAATTTCTGTTAAATCTTCTTCCTTGTTCGAGAAATTTTCAACTGCTTTCAAGCTTTATGTTAAGATATCTCGAAAATTGAGCAGATAACAAAGATGTCTTCGCGGTGTTTAAACGTCTCAAATATGACCAAAAAGGAGATTTTTTAGAACATGATATCTTGAAATGCTAAAGTATACTTGGGGCTCTAGGTTAAAAATTTATCGGCTTATGTTATCCGCGTTTATGATATATAAGTTTGAAATTAATATTTCACTTTACACATTATTTATAATTTCACTTTATTTTCAATTCGCATATAAAGCAAAAACTTATCAAGCTTTCGATTTTAAAGTTTGTGCAATTTTTACTAACAACCATTCCAGTCCATTCCAGTTTAATGTAATTTACACATTTTTTTTTGAAATTTGTCATAAAGATCTTGTTTTGTTTTGTTACAAATTTTAATTTTTAATTAAAATTCTTACACGTTTGTGTTTTTTTTATCAATTCACGTTTCGTTTAGAAAATTTTTCAATTAATAATTAAACTTGTTGCTGCATCAAACGTCAATATGGAACTAATAGTCAAATATATTTCAAATGTCATTATTAGCGATAGTTTTTCACGTTTATTTTTTCTATAAAAACCACTTCACCTTGTCTTGAGTTCTTTTTATTTTTTTTGGAAAACACTTAATGATTTATATAATCTAATAAAAAGGCGTTAAATATACAACAAATTTATTAAAACAAAGTACCCTACACACAAAGATAAAATATATCAAAAATTTTGTTTTAGATTGCAAATGTGCTAAGTCTATTTTTCTAAAAAACTGAAGTTTTCCTAATAAAACTGCTAGATGTTAAAGCAATCGATTAGAAAAATGTTTTAGGTTTTCTAATTTGCAATGATTTTTGTTTATTTTGTTTAATTATTGGAACATTTTTTAAGTGTATTACCTTTAAAAGGCGACTTTTACCTCTTAACAGATTTTCTTTAACCGGCATTAACTAACTTCTAGTACATATCTTATCGTTTTTACGCTAATAAATGAAACGTTTCAAATATGTACTCGTAAATGAACATTTTTTAATAACCCTATTGACGTGTGTTACTTGTAATACATTTTTAAATTGATTTTTTTTCGTCGTTTTTTTTCAGCTACTTAATAAACAAAATATCTAACACAATTGTACTTTTGTTTATAATGAACAATTATACGTTTCTCATTATCATGTATGTACATTTCGGGGTTACGTTTCGTATCGCAGGTATAATCTTATCGTGAGATTATTATACTTTTATGTTTGAAGTATCATATCGTTTGTACTCGTCTAATAATTCGTTAATTTAATGTCAAAATAAAAACAATTCTAAATGTAGGTTTGAAGAGATAAAACAAATTTGCATTCATAGTTTTGCAGTTTCATTTGGAAAATCTTATCACAATGAGTGTTTTTTTTAAGAAACAATGCAAAATGGTTGCTTTTTGCAACATGTTGCTGGAATTTTATTTAAAACATGTTTAGCAACATTGTTATCTATATAAAAGAATCAATATGCATATCCTAATCTGGGAAATTTATTGTTTTTTTCATAAAACATTTTGTTTAAGACCATAAACTTATAATTATGTATTATTATTTACTATAATTATACCCTACACCACTTCAGTGGGGAGGGTATATTGGGTTTGTGCTGATGTTTGTAACGCACAATAATATTGGTCCACCTTAAAGTATACCAATCGCCTCAGAATCATTTTCTGAGTCGATTTAGCTATGTCCGTCCGTCTGTCCGTCCGTCCATGTAAACCTTGTAATCAAACTACAGGTCGCAATTTTGAAGATAATTCAATGAAATTTGGTACATGATCTTCTATTGTCCCAGGGACGAAGCCTATTGAAAATGGTTAAGATCGTTCCATTATTTCACCTAGCCCCCATACAACTGAACCCCAATGAAATTATGCACATGATCTTTTATGGTACCGTAAACGAAGCCTATTGACAATGGTTAACATCGGTCTATTATTTCACCTAGCCCCCATACGACTGATCCCCCCGAATAGGGCTTTTAAACTTTGTAATCAAACTATAGGTCGCAATTTTGGAGATAATTCAATGAAATTTGGCACAAGATCTTTTATGGTACCGTAAACGAAGCCTGTTGAAAATGGTTTACATCGGTTCATTATTTCACCTAGCCCCCATACAACTGAACCCGTCGAATAGTTCATAATTATGTTTAATATACTCATATCTCGACAAAAAGCTGCAAAAACCAAGTTCTATACAAGATTTGATGACCCTCACGAATTCCATAATAATAGGTCCTCATATGACCCTAGCCCCTATGAAAAGCCCCCATCAAAATATGACTTAAATGTCCACAATGTTATTCAACAATAAACGGCTTAAGTATGTATATCTGAGGCAAGGTACAATTCAATTTAAATGCTTTATTATGGCAAATAAATCACATTATATTTTTGTCAAAGGTGTAGGGTATTATATGGTCGGCCTCGCCCGACTATAATTTCTTACTTGTTTCTAAAATAAAATTGTTTATATAAGATTAATAAATGTTTAGAAACACTTATTAGTATTTTTAAAATTATTAATCTTTATCTCACAAATCATTGCTGAAGTTTATTAAAAAATAAATTCCGTTTTTATCAGCAACATATTTATTATATTTCTTAAAAGTTAAACTAATTTCATAGTTACGTTATGAATGACTAAAGTCTTTGCCTCATATGACGTTTTAATAATAATTTATGGTCCTTACATACCATGATTTATGATCTTATGACCAAGTTTTTTTTTTTTTTTGAGTAAAATTCGTTTAAATTTTCGGTTTTCATTGACAAGTTGGAAATATTTAGGTAATTAAAGGTTATAGACGATGTAATGAAAAAGTAAAACAAGTAGGAAATTATACTCGGGCATGGCCGACCATATAATACTCTACACCATGAGTATATTTTAACAATTTATATTTTTCATAAAGAAACTTTTATGTTGACTTTTACCATAATTCCAAAGTATTTAAGTAATTTATTGGTAAAAAACAAATGAGGCTTTATATAGGATATAGGTCAAACATGGACCGATTCTCATGAAATTTGGGAAAAGGATATATTTTTAAATAACAGTTAGTCATTGCGATACAAAATGGTTACAAGTCAATTTTTGACGTTTAAGACATTTTTGAAGGGCGGTTTGTATGGGGGCTAGGGTCAAATAAGGGCCGATCATTACGAAAATCTGTAAAATAAACGACCGATTTCAACCATTTTCAATAGGCTTTGTTCCTTTGCCAAAAAATTTCCAAATTTCCAGCCGGACAGACGGACGGACATGTCTTAATCGACTCAAAAAGTGATTCTGAATCGATCGGTATACTTTAAGGTGTAGGAGCAATATTTGTGTGTGTTAGAAACATCACAAACGTATAATACCCTTTCCCACTATAGTGGTGTAGGGTATAAAAATAATAGCAGGATAAGCACCGGTCAGAAGTTACCGTATACTTGTTATTAATATTAATTTGCTTTGAACTTTTTGACGCCAAACACCGATGACCAATATATGACAATGGGTTAAATTCTATAAAATGCGATGTCATTACAAACCATGGTTTTTATATTTGTTACGTTTATTTCGCGAAATATTTTACAAGTGAAAATTCAGCATACCTAACTTTAATAGGACCATAAATCCAACATAAAGCATCGGTCCATATTATCGAAATTAAGGCAAAATTCAATGTAAATGAATTTCCTATATACTGATAACTAGTATAGGATATATTGCCTGTATTGTTATTCCATTTGTAACATTGGTCGTAGATTCTCAAAACTGTATCCATTAGGCTGGAATGGATATACTTTTGGATAACAAATATGTTACTGCTGATGTTCCCACTGCTGATCATTTTAAGATATCATTTCTCAAAATTTTGTTCAAGAGATAAAAAGGTGCCACATTAAGGTTTTCCCGATTTTTATCATATTTTACGTAGAGGAATGATATTAAATTTTGTTATTATGTAAAAAGTCTTTACGAGGCACTTTCAATGACGTCTATTTTAAAAATACTAAAATTCTATATTTTTACAGAAATATTAAGTAATTTTAAATTTTTATACCCTACACCACTTTAGTGGGGAGGGTATATTGGATTTGTGCTGATGTTTGTAACATACAAAAATATTCGTCCTAGACCCACCTTAAAGTATACCAATCGGCTTAGAATCGTTTTCTGAGTCGATTAAGCTATGTCCGTTCGTCCGTCTGGCTGGCTGGCTTACTGTCCATGTAAACCTTGTGCGCAAGGTACAGGTCGCAATTTTCAAGATAATTGGATGAAATTTGGCACACACGTTTTATTTGACCCAAGGACAAAGCCTATTGAAAATATTTCACCTAGCCCCCATAGAACAGAACCCCCCGAAAAGGGCTTCTGAGCTCATAATTATGTTAAATATACAGATATATCGATAAAATACGGCACAACTAAGTATTATAGAAGTCTTGATGACCCTGCCAAATTTCATAAAGATCGGGCCCCATTTGACCCTAGCTCCCATACAAAGTCTTCTTCAGAAAATTACTTGAATGTCCCAAATTAACTTATAAACACAAATATCGCGATGAAATTCAGCACAATAAAATATTATGTAAATATAAATATATTCAAAAAATTTTATCGAGCTTGGTCCATATTTGCCCCTAGCCCCCATATAAAGCCTCTTTCAGAAAATTAGTTTTTCATCCATAAATTGCTTAAATGTATCGGAACAAGGGAATATTGAAGATAAATGCTTTATTATGAAAAATAAATCACATTTAATATTCATAACTGGTGTAGGGTATCATATGGTCGGTCACGCCCGACTATACTTTCTTACTTGTTACATATAATTTTATTTAGTGTAATTAATTTAAAATATATGTAGTGCAATGGTTTTGATATGATATTAACCGAATAGAAATAGTACATATGTATGTACGTCTAAATTTGAAAGATATTATTTACCTATTTATTTTTTGCAATAATTATACTTATATGTATAATATATACTTAGTTAATATCGTATCAAAACTTTTTAATATTTTAACTTTATAATTCATTCGTATCACACCATTTTGAGCGCGTCATAAGGGGGTTTCCAAATATTTTAAATAGGTAGACTTGTCTTTTAAAATTTTTATTAGTTTTTAATGTTTAACACGTTTCTGTGACAAACACGTTTTTATACAGCCAATGAGTGGGTTTTAGGGGTTTAGAGAGTGCAGGAAACTTTGTAACATTTCAAACTTCAATATTTAATATCGCGATATATCGTTTAAATGTTATTTACAAGACACCAGTCGAATTTTCAACAGACAGACAGACGAGCGGTTATGTCTAGGGTCCACTATCAATATTTCGATGTATTACAAAAGAAATTACAAAATTCTTATACCTCTACCTATGTAAATGTTGGAGATTGGTTCAAACTTTGGTTAACTGTTGTAGATGGTTGTCTGGTTGAACTTGCTCCACTAACTTCCTTATTTATTTTAGTGC